CGGACTTAACGGACCGGACGGCACCCGAGTGTGGCCACCACTAGCATTTGTATGGTGTTGAGGTAGAGGTAGATGCCGGGTGGACTATGCCTGGCTAGGCATTACACCGAATTGAAGCACACACAACCTCTCATAAAATCATATGATAAGGCACCTAATTAGGCAAACAAGTCTATTGGACTTAGTATATGTCAATATTGGCGTTACTTTTCTTTATGTATTATCGCCACAATAGCGATATAGATAGAGTGGAGAGAGATTGGTCCAAGCTCTTTTATTGTGGGTAACCCCAGACCTAAGAGCTGGATTTTGGACCACAGTCCTGGGGCCTACAGCATTGGTATATAGCACATATATACTGGAGTCAATTGATATTGGGAACTTATAGAATTTGCACATAGTCAACAACTCTAACCATATCATTGATTCAGTATATATTTGACGAGGAGTGGACCATATTGGTGGGATACTAGGACACTCCAAAGTTTTGCAGATATGGATAGCAAAAGAGGCATATTTGGTTGCTTTAGCTTATATATAAAAGAGGAGAAATTCGAGTATTGTGAGCAACTGGTCAATTCATTGGTTACACTCTCTTTTAACTTGAAAATCCTTAATGGAGTTAACTGCTAGGGGATGTGTGAGTATGGAAGCAGTCTTGCATAGGGATATCATTATGGCCATGTACCAGTTCATCAGTAAAGACCTGATCATACCCAGCCCGCAAATATATCTCTCGAGGAGTACAACTACATGCTCCATATGTAATTAGGGGTATTGATCAATTAGGCTCAATTCTATAGTTTTGGCAATATGAGCGCTCGGCTGTCAGTGAGCCAGCCAAAGGCTCTTCAAGAGCTCTACACATTGCTAAAGATAATCGATGCACCCCAAGGGAAAGTAATTGGATATTGCTAGATATAGCATGGATATAGGACTACTTTTAGTCTCAAAATCCTAATTACTGGAGAAAACACATAAGGTCAAAATCAGTGGATGGATCATGAGGACAGCAAACCTAATCACACACAGGCGGTCTACAGTAATAGTTAGAGCTATATACTAATGGCCTATATTTCTGTGTGTTATGCAGGTCGATGACTATGGTAATGTGGTAGTGACCTATTGGCTTTTTGTTTTGCCGAGCAGAGCGAGGCTCATCGCCAAGTTGTGGAGGCCATATGCGGAGCAAAGCAAGTGAGGCCTTTAAAACATAGTGAGGGCTTTAGCTCAGAAAATGGGTCTGGTCAAAATGGAGAACGGTAATGAATTTGATGATTTTGGTTGTCATATATAAAAGCGCCTGACAAGGGCGCCGACTATAGCCATCAGTTGTTCTGGAGCTTCCCTGCCTCCTCAAGTGCAGTAGCCGCATGCCTCAGATGGGACCGCGCAGAGCGGCCATCACCCATAGACCAGAGAGAGCACGGGACATGCCGTCCGGCCGAAGATAACCACATTCCCACTAGAGAGGCCCTACCATGCGGGTTAAGTTACCTGGATGCGGCCAAGGGGGGACCACGCCAACAATTGGGAATTAGCCAAATCAATTACCAATGCACAAGAGTTGGTTCAAGCATTTAATAATAGCACAACTCCCATTGCTAATGTGCAAACTGGGAGCAATATGAAGAAGAAGATTTCCAACCCTTGGAAATCTTCTTCTTCATGTTGCTACCAGTTTGCACATTAGCAATAGGGTTGGAATCCAACCCGGGTGCTATGGCAATCCATTGTGCATGTCGCCACCATGGTATTTTTTGAATTCTCCTCTAACTACCATCTTAATGTGTCTGCCCACCTGGTTATACAGCCCCAACGCTCCTCTAGACTTCTAGGTCCGCCTTTTCCCCGCTTGGGGTTATTGAATCCCTTTGATTTTTCTTTCAAATTTTGCACCCAGGTTGGCGAACGCCCACTAGTCTGTACTAGGTGGTGGCGCCAATACTAGTCAGTCACCCGCGGGTCCCTCCACCACCATAATTACAAATACCTCTTAGGTATAAACGACCACGTTCTTCTGCATGGCGTACGCCATTCCATGAGCCAGAGGGGCGGCTTCCTCCCGGGGGCTCTCCAGCGAGGCCCCCTTGGACCCTCATGTTATTTTGAATTTTTCTGACTTTTTTAGTGTGCCTTAAGTACTAAAAGACGCCGGCGGTGGATTTCTCTCTATACTAAGTCCCTCCCAACCCCTTCCCATAGGTAAAACCCCTAAACCTATATGGGCACCTTTTTTGGGGATCCGGGTATTGGTCCCCATTGGGGGCCCCAGAAAAGAGGAGCGGGTAGCTCTTGAGTGGCACTGGGATTTAAACCCGCGTAACCAGCACCCCGAATGTGGGAGTGCCAACCTCTTTGAGCCAAATCTAGGTTTATGCTCAAGAGCACCCGCCCCTAGTAGCAATATGAGATGCAAGCATTGATTGCGAGCATGTCTGTTCTCTTGTGTGTGACAGGCACTATTGCGGTGGGTTCATTGAACAATCTTTTGTCTTTGACAAAAGAATAATGGTTATCAAGGAAACCGGTCCCACTCGCAATTTGGACACGTGACCACCATGTCCATCGCTATCATAAATGGCAATAGGATACAGGGCGATGGACCATTCATAACAACCATATGTTGGGGCTGAGGCAGAGGCATAGACCCAGGCTACAACCAGCGGGGTCGCGGCCGCAGGCAAACAAGCCGGGGTGGTCGAATGGGGGGATGTGCAGGGTGATCCCTACATATCATGAACATTCCTTGGGCGTTTGCAGGCCGAGAGATGATAGTGTAGAAATTTGTATATTATAGATTAGAAATAAACTTTCCAATTGGTAAACTGAAGAAAGGGTCTTAATGAGGGTTGTGTGCAGGAACATTCTCCTTGTAACAGCCACTCTTTCTCTTCATTGCATGTTTTGTAAGCACAATGTGGTCTAGACTGGGCATGTGGTATAATACACAGCTAGTCTCTACATATAGCAGGCTTGTCAACCACACATACGTCTACCTCTATATCTACGCACTGGGATGGGGACTTCCCACCTCCCTGAGGGGGACGAATGTTACGCACAGGCCTAGTGTGTGGGATGCCCTGCCATGGTCTCCTAGTGTGGGGGACGCCCTGCCCAGGATGTGGTAACGATACTGGAACCCGATCATATGTTATTATATAATATAGAAGTAGGTCGGGGTGGCCCTATCTAGGCAAGGACCTAGGTGCCCAGCAAGGCGGGTCTGTGGTTTAAGGAGGGTAAGAACGCCACACCAACAATCAACACGTGTTAGCCGGCCTCCCATAAGGCGGAGGGGTCCATGCACAGACCATTGGGCGATGGAGGGATCCGGGGGCGCCGATGAAACCACCACGTTTGGGCCCACGTACCAAGTAGTCAGGGGGACATCATTTAACCCACGGGACATAGCAACAAAGGATATTGCGGTAATAGTGTGTGGAGCTATTTTGATTGCACGCTTGGCCACAAAAGGAAACAAAACACTATGGCAAAGATGTCACCATCCCTCGTTGTGTGGCGCCATGAGCTGGAGTGAGAGCTCGCGCAAGCAAGATACTGGTTGGCAGAGTGGCGTGTTGCATAGCCGTTGGACAGGTGCCAGTAGTGTGAGTGGAATGCTCCATCCAAAGGAATAAGATGGTAAAAGACTATCAAAACGTTTTTCTGCCACTCTCCAAAAATGTCAAAATATGCGCCTTCATGCGCAAATTTGATGTACAGGAACAAAAATTGTGGAGTCATGGTGTAGACATCTAAACTCAAATAGAGGAAGGCGCCATGGTCCCACTAGATAAAGGACTCTACGAGGACATTTGTGGCTGGCTAGAGAGAGCTGCAAAGCATTGCGCAGGATGAGAGCCAACAAGCTTATTCACTAAAGGTCAGTGCTGCCATCTGCTACTTAGTGGTCCATATTGCCCTTTGCTAAATAACCACAAAGTACCAGAAATTGGGGCTGGGGGAGTGGCGAGGAGTGGAAATCTAGGCTTGGGGATTAGTGCAACTGGAAATCGGGGCTTTGGGAGTGGATGGGAATAGTAAAGAAGCATCACTAACTGTCAATGTCACATTGCATCCCCGGGAACCTCTCTCTGTGCCCACCCGTCGCTGACTGCAGTGCTTCTTCTCTCGCCGCATGGGACCGGGTCAAGACCGGTGTGTGGTGCAATAGGTCAGGGCGAGGGCGTAGCATTGATGAATTGCACGGGTTTGCCTTGGTGCCAGCCCGGGGGGCCATTTTCCGCAACCTGGGTGGGCACCATTGCCAAACGAATGGTGCCTTGTGGGCGTCCACTCTGCCACCTACATGGGTCTCGATTGGGCCCCATGGCTGGTGGGAGTGGGCGCCCATGAGGCACCACTTATAAGTGCCCTAATTAGCTAAAAGTACGCGCCTTGCAGGCGCCCCATAGGGGCAAACTATTTCCCAAAGAACAAGAGCCAGGTCTTGCGTAGTGCGAATTTGTGGCCAACATTCCCTTTCTGCCAAGGTGGATTCTGCACATCGGAACTAACGCCGAAAGTGCCATCCACCACCAACGCCCAGCCTCGCCAACCGAGTCCCTCATCGCTTGTCTTTAGCGCTTGCACCTCAATGTAGAAAAGAATTAAAAAATGAACTGCCATTACCCCAATATATCCGTGAAATTCCCAGACACCAACAAAATTATGCCAGCAGTTCCGGGCGCGATGGCCCATCACACAATGCACTTCTGCACCCTTGTCAAGTCAACTCAGTTGTTGGAGGCTTCCGCTATGATGTAGAGGCAACCTAGTGGGAACGACCGCAATTCCACAATGTGAAGAATACACTTCGCGTTCTGCAGGGTTGAATCTTTCATATTTTCACAATGTCACAAATTACATAACGGAGCCCTTTGAATATTGCAACCCGCACCGTTGTGACTCACAACTTGTGAGACTGAATTTGTCCATGCCACAAGGGTCATCTATGTGCAGAATTAGGCACCTGGCGCACTGTTACATAAAGGGAACTATTCAAGGCCTATGCAACTCATAAGGCTTCTAGTGTCGATTCCACGACCCTCTGGGTCCAGAGCTCTCGAAATTGTTTTGACCTCGTGCTTCACCAGCGGCAGGGAGCATTCCTTGAACGCATCCTGCAACACATTCAGGGCCTGAGTCACAATCACAAATACAATGCGACGGTGCACGCTTATATGGGCTTGCGCGGATTCTTGGAATATTGTTGCGCACCCGCAGCCAGATATCAGAGGTTATGTTGCGCTTGATACACTGATGAGCAAATATGAGGCGCTCAAGTTAACATTGCGATCCTTCAGGTGGACTGCAAGGAATATCAGTTGGTTCAGAAATCACATGGTGGGCGCGTCTGCCGCAAAAATCGCCCCTCTGCAAGATGAGGAATTCGCATCACAGATGGCCAGCTGTATTTGTTGATTTTAAGCACTGGGCTTCCAACGCGGCCTTAATCTGTACACAGCAGCGCACCTGCAGGCCCGATTCCTGCACGTTTACGTTCCCATCTTGTTGCTGACGAATCAGTGCCACACGCAGTCTGTCCGCCATCTGATCAGGGCCTTCCTTGATGGCCTTCTTCAACTGCTCACAACAGCAACGTATTCCAGGAGTGGAATCATCAATTCCAGTGTGCTCCAAATATCAGATGGGTTCCAATCATTTCCGTTGTCCCCAGCAATGCCAATTATTTTTACACAATCCTGACTCGACAGTGGTGCCTCTCAGATATTCTGAAGTAAAGATTTCTTTGACATCGCACTTCTACTACGGACTCTATTCCATGCGCATTTTCAACGCGCGTGATTGCAAAAAATGATCCTCGAAGGAAAGTCTGCTTTCAAAGCGCGGCGCCTTGCGTTTCTGCACACACAAGGAGCGGCAAGAACAATGCAGTTCGCACACTCAAGCTGCAACCTCCCAAATCACTCGAATCCCATCAGCAATAAGTCGACACCGCACCTTCGCAATTACGGCTGGGAAGTCCGCCACGGGGTACCGCGATTTATTGGCTTCCATGCATCCAAGGGTAAACTCGTCCGCTCCAATAATTTCAAACACCCTGGAGAATACGTTTATTCTGGCTCCAATGAAGAGATCCTGGGAGGCAATATATGCAGGGATGCCATCGACCCCTGAGCGCCCAATTGCTTTGGGGACAAGCACTCTCTCCAGGAACTTGCCGCCCTTGATTCCTGAATTGGGAACGGGCACCTCGAAAACGGAGAGCGTGCCGTCTACAAGGTAGAAGGATAGGACGAACCTGTGGAAGCGATATCGCATCAGCAGAGCGCTGATTCGCACGATGGCGAACGTTCCCTCGTAAAGCGCAACATCTAAATCTAGCTGGTACCCCAAATTCTATACATGTATTGGCGTGATTGCATCGCTGTTCCCCTTACCTCCTTTCGCTATCTGAAGCCAAGGGAAACCTGAAACGATCGGTCTCTATCATCTTTCCGGAAAACCTCAGCACCTTTGCTTCATTTTCTTCTGCACATTTCGGGCTCTTTCTTGGAGGTTTGGGAACCAGACTGAGTACGTTCTGCAGCGAATCCTCCTCCGACCCCAACCCTGCGTATGAAGGAAGTGCCGTTGGACGACATCAGCTTCATCGATGGCAGGGCATACGCACTAAGTACAAAATATTTTCCATCAGCGGATTGCTTGGGCAAGTGACATGTGGGTGCTCTTTTTGCGCAACTTTGTGCAGTAATGACAAGTGCCATGTTAAGCAAATGTGATGCGCCAATGCACTCAACGCAAAAGCCATCGATCTGTCGCAAGCGACTGCAATGATTGGCAGGGGTCACAGAAAATTGATTCAGTTCATCAACAATTACTTAAACAGCACGAAATTACAGAAACTCAAAAATATAGTTAACAATTAATTGGTGCCATTGGTTCCAGCAGCAACAGTCGATTTAATGCAGTTGATCAAACGTTGGAACAGTGGAGCTTTTAAAGTCACAGATGAGCTTCTGGAGATACATGCCCATGAAGCAGCGCAAACCTGCACTCATGTTACCTGATGTATTTGGAGGTATTTCGATGCGCCGGTCGGGCTTCCCTTCGTCAAAGTTAACCTTGGAAACGACAACACCTAATCTTTCAATTCTTCTCAATGGATTTGCAAAATATTTCAAACAGCAGAACGGCGGATGTCCATGTGCCATGTGCAGTGGGGGACGCCCGCTGCGTTGTGAAGCATTACTATGACCCTCCGCTGTACCCCTCATGATGTTTCTGTTGATTTTTAGACACGGCAGTGCCCATTTTCATTGAATATGTCGCACAAATCGAACGCAGCATTTCGTATGACGATTGATGTTTCTCAGCACCAGGCTCACTTGACAGTCAGTGGATAATGTGACAAAGACTCCACAGCGCCCTATTTCAAGCGGCACAACATTCACGCCTCATCACATTCGGTGACGCAACAGTCCGCCACTGGTCAGGTGCCCTTTGCAATTCATACTTGTCTCCACTTCGATCATCCGCATGGCTGTATGCCATCGACTCTCTGGCCTTCAAATGATTGGATGGGTGGAAATTTGAAGCAAATGCAACTAATGCTAGTACAACAGAATATTCAACCCTTCCGCATCACACAAATTTTGCCGTTTCGCTTTCTGCTCGGCATTTATATTTTCAGAGCCTTATTACATTTTTAAGATGTTGATCCGCAAAAAGAAACCCGAGCGTTGCGTTACTCTCCAAATTTTTCTCAATGAAAAAAGGCTAGGCGTTACGTTGGTACGCGGAAGGTTTGAACATTTTACGGCATCAGAGCATTTCAATACCGCGGGGGCGGGTTCTGGTCGAGGGGTACCTGCCTTCACTGGATCCAGTTCAAAGTCTTCCATTCCCAGCTGATCCTTGTACCAGCGCCGAGTGAAGTCGTCTGCTTCAGCGAGCACCATGCCTCGTCCGTAAATCTGCAAAACGACAGGGCTGATAGTTGCGCAACGCTGCGAATGGGTGTATTGAATTTTCTGTGGAGGAGTCAAAGCAACGAATTGCATCCATTCCTGTATACAATTTCCCCAGCACATCCGGATTTGAATACCTCGCCTTCCGTGAAATATTTCTTTTGCGAATGTTTCAAAGCAGCAAATTTTTTGCTTCAACGCATCTGAAGAAGTCTAAATACGCATCTGCACTCCACGGCCCCAACTGCTCTTTCTTCCTGGCATGCGATGTTGACAACGTGAAAGTATCTACCACGTGCTCTCAATCTCCAGGAACGGCAGCAGGGCATGCTTGGCGATCACTCAGCCACGCATAATTTCGCCATTGGCAAAGACTAGTCTTCTGAAAATTCTACGGTGCCATCACTTGTGGACTTAACTTCCCCATGCGCTTTTGTTATCCAAGCAGGAACCTACGAATTATCAGGTTTGTGCTCAGTGCGAAGCAGATCTGCCAGAACGAACCTTGCACTTACCGGGCGGCTTATGAGGCAATCGCTCTCTTGCCTCAATCTTTCAATGACCCACTTCCGTGCCTGTTACAAATCATATTGGATAATGTTCACGAATTCCAACAGGAAAGGTGGCCCTCTGAATACCTTTATGGTATCTCCGATGCGGAAGTCCCTCCAATTGTAGAAGCTCAAGCTCGTGCGAGTCCTGGAGTCCGCGGAAAGCGGCCTTCCACCTGTGCATGATTTGTTGAAGCTGCGCATTAAATAGCGCAGCTAAAGTTGGGCAAGCTTCCGCGACAATTCGGCAATTCGACAATTCGACTATTCGGCTGTTCGATTATTCGGCACTTCCACTATTCGACTGTTCCGCTATTCGACTGTATGACCATTCGACTGTTCGACTATTCGACTGTTCCACTGTTCGAATATTCGACTATCCGACTGTTCCACTGTTCGAATATTCGATTATTCGAATATTCCACCATTCGACGATTCGAATATTCCACCATTCGACGATTCGAATATTCCACCATTCGACGATTCGAATATTCCACGATTCGACAATTCGAATATTCTACTATTCGACTATTCGGCTGTTCAACTATTCGATTATTCGATTGACATAATTCCTTATTTTGGCCAGTGCGACACCTTGCAATATGTTGAGGTGACGAACGAATAACTATGTTCGCACGTCGATTGGAGGAGCATGCCCTTATTGTTATAATGTATATTCGATTATTGATAAGAAAGGACCCAGGGTCGTGCGCGTTGTGATTGGATCAAGCGCCAAGTTTGCGGGACGACAATCGAGACATGCCGGGTGCCGCTGCGCCCCTCATGCAGTGTTGAATAACATCCAAACATGCAAACTTTCTCCCTGCTTCACTTGGAGGTTCCGGCCTCGATTGAAGTCACCCTTAGTGAGGCCCCACCTCGCTATGTGAAATAAATCAACGTCTGTAAAACCTAATGAAAATAAATCGGGGGGTCGGCGACATACTCACCAACTCCGTAGCTCGACTTCGGCAGCTTCATTCTTCTCAAGAACACCGGAAACGAGTCCCTCCCGCTGTTCACGCACTTGGCCTCGAAAATCTCCACGGTGTCGTCAACCAGGTAATACTGAAGAATGAATGATAGCTTGTCGCCAAATGCGGACTTCGTGTCGTCCCAGTAGGCGCTGAATCGCAGAACCTTGCGGTTGTATTTCATGAATTGGTCTCTGGGCCTGGCTTCCAAAAGTTCTGATGTACAAGGCGCCGTTTTCGAGCATTCCGGTTTTGTTTGCCTCTGAAAGTTACAAGGCATGTACGTATGTCAGATATTCAATTCTTTATGTAATCGGCGACTAGTTAAAACTATTACTCACAGTGACACGGACACCTATGTAGTCGCCTCAAAGCGACTCAGATCCCCAATACCTGAACTTAACAACCGAGCATAATGAACACACGTACCACTTCCGCCAAAACCAAGTTCACACGCAGCTGCTCCCACAGCCTTAAAACTCAACACTGAGGGAATCGTTTCAGTGATAGATAATCCCATCACATCAGTTGGTGATGAAAGCTAAGGCTTCGTAACAGGGCTGCCACTACCTGGACCTCCTTTTGGTAAGGCCCCTCCGGGAGTTTCTTATCTTCCGCGACGCTGACGCCCTTGGATAGCATGAAACCGCGTGTGTACGCATCGCAGCCCGTGATGTGGAACTGTCTCCCGTAGATTGCCAATGGCTGCCCAACGGTCACGTCCCTCCACGAGATGTACTCCGATGGTTTGTCTCGAAGGCGAACCCTGTGTCAGCGCACTTGGGGTTCAGCGCCCACATCCAGATTGAAGCGCAGGGTCGTGTGCCCTGTGGTCGGAAGTTGGCTCCCGGAGACGAAAACGCTGTACTAAAGGTACAAGTACTTGTATCACTTGTAATCACTAGTGATTGTTGGCAGCTGATAGAATTGTGATTCGAAAGTTAGACCGAAGAACTTCTACAGAGCTACGATTTCAGCGGCCGTTTTCTTATCATTTGATGCATAGCATGTCTCTAAAAGAATTGGCATCAAATAATGACGGTGCATGCCAATGGCAGCATGGGTGCTTCCAGGCGACGCGTCTCCGTTGTCTCTTCGTAACCTCCCAAACGATCAGCGCATTTCATTGGATACTCTGTAATGCAACATTACGCACATGTTGATTCTCAGATTGCTGAAATTTGTACTTTTGTGTCAACGCATGAAGACACGATTCTCAGGCCACAATCAAACTGGTGCGCGAAATAACCACCACTCTGGTCTGATGGTGCGTTTGAAAAAATCGTGGCTGAGATCTTACTAAAAATAACTCGAAACCGCAGTACGGGATGGCCAGAACGCGCCATCACGTGGCGACTTCCAGACAGTAGTCAAGGAAAACGATCAGGTAAAATTTGCGGGCGCCAGAATTCCTGGCTGATTCCTGGCTCCCTCCATCGGCGATACAGAGTGCTGTTCAGGAGCCGTAAAAAACTTTTAAAGTATCCTCGAGGCTGTAGGCACAGCCATCAATTCCCTGCCGATCCATGGAAAGGAGGGCGCGAAATGATCCAGTGCGATGGAAAAAAGACGTGAGCAGAATGTATGCAGATGGGTGTTCAAGCAAAGACGCTCCAGGAACAACAAAAAGAAGTTTTGGGCGAGACTGAATTGACTCTCAACGGTATTCCACTCGGTATTTTGTCCTGGTATTTTTTGCATCTTTGGCACAGTCGCGCTGCCGTGATTTTGCTTTATATGCTATTGCAGTTTAACTAGGAACAGAGGAAATAGCTTGCATTTTAAGACAGACGAGGACAGCGAGAAAACCTTCCAGGAATTTTGTTACCAGAATCTGGGATTTGGGGATAAAGTTAATTGGAAGTATTTTGCTGACTAGTTTTGAATATACAGCAACTATCCAAAAGATTTGGAGGCGCAGGTTGCCGCACGGGCCAAAAATTTTTTAATGGATAGTTTGACGCGGAAAGTGGTAGATCTGCCTGTTTGTGATGAATGTGGGTGGATAAGACCGCAGCGGGGCAAAGATTTAGAGACGCCAAGTGTGTGGGACAATCTTGGTAGATACGACTTGATTTGTTCTGCTGTGTGTGATATTTTTGTATGAGAAACATGTACAGTAGCTGAGGATTGGAGCAGACCCAATCCAGCATAAGCAGGGGGCGCGCTTTACATTTCAACAAAATGATTCGAAGGTGGCCGTTTGGCTTTGAATAGTTCACGACGCTCTGTGGCCTAAGGCTGGAGCCAGACTGAATGAGCCACGTCCTTCAGCCGTCCAGTGATACCAATCAATTGAGAACCTAAACGCCGTAGCTGTTAGCTGCCCATATTCAAGTTCAAAGCCTGACTAGATATTCTGAAACATCGCAATTTTGAATTCGGCTTGAAGAATGCGCCGTGGTAGATCGACTTATTTGCATCTTCGGCCGCGTAAAATACTGCTGCAACGTGAGCAAATGATGTTTGAGCATAGTCCTAATCTCAATTCGGAAATCTCGGCATTGCATTCCCAGGTGTTTGCATGTCTTTGCATATGAATTTGTGACCTTCTCCTGTGGATGGAAGGGAACTCGCAGCGCCAGCCCACACCAACCTGTGTTTTCGAAGGAATGTGCCTTGGCGCAGGCCACTATTGTCTTCCTTGGGCTCGCTGATCATTAGGGTTCCGTCTTCCAGGTAGTAGTACAATATGCATTTTCTCACGCGCCACTGCTCCAAGCCATTTTCGCCCACGTCGTCGATGAAATAGGCATAGAACCGCAGCACCTGGGCGCAGCCCCGATTCGAAGTTAACCCAACGAACCGTCCACATATACAGGTTACGTAAGTTTTGCTGCAGAAAGATATGAGACCAAGCGGCATGGCAATCGCTTGCAAAGGAGTTTCAGAGGCATACAAAATACGGAGCCGCACTGCTCTGAGCAGTGGACATTTGTTTTCGTTCATCCCCGAATATGATGAAGGTCGCTGGGCATTTCAATGTGCAATGTCAATAACTTCACAGTAAGAGCTGGGCGGGAGAAGAACACAGCCAGGGGGCAGCGGAATAGTCATGGCGGCTTCCTGGATCACACCTGGCGGTCATATGCGATCCAGTCAGGAATTTCGGAAGGGCGGTTCTCGATTGTTGATGCATTCGATGCGCCAGGCGTCAGTTTGCTTGGCGTGGACTCCTGGCATCCAAGGCGCCGCCCCTCTGTTGCGTCTTTTGTTTTAGGGGACGCACCGCGTGGACCTGATATGGACTGCATGGAAGCTGCTTTAGTTGCTGCGGCTATTTCACGCTGGACCTCATCCCGCATCAAGACGGGGAAACGGAGCAGGGCTCTGCGTGGGAGGATTGTTCGGAGTCACATTCCATAGATTTTCCTGCCAGTTGAACTTTTTGCGACTTGGGATGCAAAGCACGAGACAAAGAAAGAGACGCCAAAGAACCCAGGCGAGGGCGCAGGCGAAGCGCTGGCGAGCGGCTACTCTCCCCAAATGCGGCACAATGTTCACCGCTACGGCGACTAAAAAACCGGATCCACAAAATAAAATCGAAGCATTCTTCAGTGACGAAGTCCCCACTGGGATGAACATGATCCATTTTACAGGCTTCTTCACGTTGTGCCCGAAAACGGCAAAAATGCAATCGTCCATTTTTTCGGCTCTGTAGACTGCAGCATATTCACGCCTGTGGTGCATCTGAGATCATTTTTTTTCTTGGCACCCGATGTGTCCCTGTAGGTTTCTCCCTTTTCAAAAGCAATCCGATGAAGGCCGTGATGGGGGCCGGATTTGCGCCTCAAATCGTGGCATCACGCATTAAGGTAAGCAGCTGACCGCCACGTCCCATTTTTGCCTTCGCAGGGGCCACATCGTTGCTGCATTCGATGCCATCACAAACAAGAGAGCAACAGCTTTGGCGCTGCGGCCGCGATAGCAATACATGGGCCAACGGGGAGGGGGCGACAGGCCTAGCGCACCTTGTCGGACACGATGGGTATCCCGTTTTGGTATCGGAATATCTGCGGCCTTGGCTTCGGGTAGTCCTGGTCGGTGACGCAAATTGGCAGGGTCAGTCGCAAGGGCAAAAGGCGTCGTGGGCGCTTTGCGGTGGGTGGGGATGCCTAGTGCTGACCCCTGTGTCCAGTGCGCACCTGGGAGCAGTAAATGGAGGATCCAGGGAAAGCCGGCGCGGTCGCCCCTCCTGAAAAGTAACCAGCGGCGCGCCTCATTGCCTACAGGCTTTGTTGATGGTCGGCGGTCGTGGGCGGGATGTTGAAGAGAACTAGTGCTGCAGCGCTGCGTTCCTGGTGCTGATTTCCGCAAGCGAGGGCAAAGTCAGACAGGTGATTCGCGTAATGATGGCACCCACTTTCACTGCACAGGCAGAAGCACGCTTGGGCATTGTTTCTGGCAGCGCATAGTTTAGGAGGCAGGGCACCCAAAAGCCGATTACCCAGAGGCCTCCATCCCTTTATCTTCTGGTACATAAGACAACAGGAATCAGACCTTTGGTCGATTCGGCCATTGGTTAGCTGTCTTCTACACTGCGCGTGTACAGAAGTTCCGTCCACATGGTGCGAGACACAATGGAACGTCGCTCCAGGATGCACCGTGTTCCTGATGACGATTGCCAGCTGCACTCATCAATTATTGGTGTAGTTGTTTTCACCTTTCGCCAAAGAAGAGTACCAATATGGCACGCATTTCTTCCAGCAAGAAGTAGATGCCACGTGCAGGAGCTGAGAAGTCTGGGCCTGTTCACGAGGCAGCCACCACCGAACTGCTCTTCTTGCCCCGGCCCAACTATCCCTACCCCCCGAGCAGCGTGTTCAGGACTCAAGGCACCTTAACACTGCTGTACTTGCATTGAGCACATGTCAATTGATCATCCGGGCCTGGTATTCGCAACACAGCGGGAAAAAAACGTGTGGGAGGTTTGAGGTCGTTCACTGCTTGTAGTGAACAAATGGAAGGACAGTAGATACTGAAGAAATCAGAACGTGTGTCGCTTTGTCGCAACGGACAGTACGCCAGGACGAATCCCGGTTACTCAACTCATCTTTACTCCGCCAGTCGCAGCCGATTGGTGACAGCGGCCAAATTTCCCGACCTGGGATATTCCTGAAAATGGCGCCTCTTCACGGAAGAAGCGCGCGGTGACTTTTCCCTCCTCACGTCAGGACCGCCCCCCCACCCGCAAAGGGCACTTCTCGCTGTACATGTCTGTCCCTTTCACTGACCGAAATCCTGTCCCTCTTGGTTCAGCACCACACACTCGTGTGTACCGCACCGCGTACGGCAATACTGTGTACTGCGTTTTGCGAGGTGCCAGTCGACCCACCAGGCCCCCTCAGGCCTTGGAGTCTAGGACTCGACAGGCAGCCGTCAGAACCGTTCACGAGTGCTCTCCAACGGCCGCAGGAGGTGACGTAGCGGCCGCCGCAGGCCGAAATGTTGGCTGAGCAGAGGGGAGATGCGCACACACAGCTCAAATGCAACCGCTCCAACAACATGCTGGGCACCACTGTCGCCCTCGCCCCTGCAGTTTCACAGCCTGTATGCCCGGGAGCAGGCGAGGATCCGTGCCATTCGCCAGAGTCCACGGGACATCTGTTAGGCTCTCGATTGGTGATTTGTTGACAGCAATACAGAAATCAGCTGTTGCTGGCAAGGCAAAACCCTAGGCACCGGTGGGGAAGATTCTTTGCAGTCGAAATGGATTTGGCTCTTTGAGCCAGGACACCGCACATCAGGGCTTCTCCCCCTCAAGCATGTGCTGAGAGGCCCACACGCCGGTCCAAGAACGGGTACGCGCAGCCCTCGGACCTCCATTCAGAGTTCGATCAGCCACCGGCGGGATGGGGCAACGCAACTCCGGCGTCTCCATGAACGCTGGGAGCCTGACGGAATCTGACGCAGCCACAGGAGGCCTCAAGGCGGCTCCGGCGCGCTGAGATCCCGATTCACCCGCAGCCGATGCCGTGGGCCCGCCCGAACAAACATTGCGACAGCGCACAACGCGGCAGAGCGCGTTGCGCCAGCGGCGCGCCGCAGCCCCGTCGCCGCAAAAAGGCGAGTGCGCCGCGGGCCGTCCGCAGTCGTCAGCCGGGCGACAGGCGGCGTGCCCTGCTAACAGGGTGGCGGGGCTGGGCAAGGGCAGCCAGGCAACCGCAATCCGGCTGCATCACCAACTCCTGGCCCCCACCTCTCCCCAAGGCTGGCCCGCCACCCGCATGTCTGACGCGGCGCCGCGCCCAATGACGGCGCTCCGCATGTGGCCCAGACGTCGACCCCTCTCCGAGGAGGGCCATGACACACGCCGGCCCTTGAGACGCGTGAGCGCCCGCCCGACAGCGTCATAGGCCGCCGACAGCGATCTTCGGCGCAGGAATTCCCAGACAACTGACTTGGGTGATACACCGACATCGGCGGCCCGCGAGCGGGCGGCAGGGGGCGCGATGTGCCTGGCGGACGTCCCGCCGGAGGTGGGCGGCCCCGTGCGGGCCCTGCTGCAGAAGACCTCGCTGAAGGAGTACCTGCACCGGCGGCCGCCGAGCCACGTGGTGACACTGGACGTGAACACCACCGTGGGCGAAGCCCTGAACCAGCTGGCCACCTACAACATCCTGAGCGCGCCGCTGTTTGACAAGTCCACGGGCGCCTACCTGGGCTTCCTGGATCGCAAGGATCTCCTGAGTTACGTGCTGCAGAACGTGGACGTGCGGAAGATTTCCCAGGAGGAGCTGGCGTACAGGCTGCGCACGGCGGGCGCGCGCATGGCGAAGCTGAAGCTCAGCAACGTGCAGGTGGGAGACGACGGGGAGATGATCCACCGGGCCAACGTGCGCCACACGCTGCTGGAGGTCATGCGGTACTGCATGGCCGGCGGAAAGGGGCGGGAGACGCACAGGATGGCGGTGTTCGACCTGGAGGAGGAGGGGGCCGCGGGGGACGGCGGTGGGGGGCAGCCCTTGGAGGAGTGTGAGGGCGGCGGCGGGGGTGAAGCCGAGGGCCAGGATCAGAACTGGGCCGAAGACGAGGACCTGGAGCTGGGGGATGCCAGCCCGCGGCTGCGGCTGCACGTGACCAGCATCGTCAGCCAGTCGGACATCATCAGGTTTCTGCACAAGCACAAGGACCAGTGCGGGCTGGTGATGGCGATGCCGGTGCACGCGCTGGGGCTGGCCGCCAAGCAGGTGGTGTGCGTGCCGTGCGACATGCCGGCGATCAACGCCTTCGCCACGATGGACGCGTGCGAGGTGTCCAGCGTGGGGATTGTGGACCAGAGGAACGGGGGCTGCCTGGTGGCCAACCTGAGCGCGTCCGACCTGCGGGGGCTGGAGCCGCACCACTTCGGCGCGCTCAGCCTGCCGGTGTTTCAGTTCATGCAGCTCAGGCGGACGAGGGAGGGCTGGCCGTCCAAGGCGGCGGCCGGCAAGGCCGGCTGGGGCCTGAAGGACGAGTGGGGGCTGAAGGGTGCGGAAAGGCGCGGGGTGAGGAAACAGCTGGTGGCCGTGAGGCCGCTGGAGCCGCTGTTCGCCGCGGTGGATGCCATAGTGACTAACAAAGTCCACAGAGTGTATGTGGTGGATGACGATTCGCATCCGCTCTCCATCATCACAATCTCGGACATTTTTAACCTCTTTCGGCCTTGAGGCCACGTCTAGGGGGCCCGGGGCCCCAGGGACTTCGGTGCGCGGCGCCACGCGCGGAGGGCCACGAGTTCTTCGCGGCGGCGCGGCGCGGTGGTTCTGAGGAGGGCGCCAGGAATAACGCAGTAAGCTGGCGATGGTGTTGTGACTCATAAGGTTGTCAATGCGAGAATACGCATTTTCACATGGGCGTGTTGGTCTGGGCTGCTAGACCGAGCGGCCTGAGACACGGGTGCTGAATCTATAGAATCGGAGGCCAATATATCTGATCCTGTAAGTGGCGGGTGGGCGGTCAAGGGAGAGCCATGCAGGCAGCCCTTGGGAGGTCAAGATCGTGGCGCTGTGCGCTGTGAACGCTGAGGAGAGTAAATCGAGGTTGCCACCAGTTTTGTGGATTTTATCGATTTTGTTCTGTAAATTATACTCCTTCATGCCATCTGTGGTGGACAACACCGATAGGCAACGGTGCGCTTATCCAAGTGCCACCTCAACCCGGACTGACACCGATCCAACAGTTTTGTGGATTTTATCTAATTTCTGCAAATTATCTCCATCATGCCACCCGTGGTTCACAACATCGATAGGCAACGGTGCGCTTATCCAAGGGCCACGTCAAGCCAAGGACTGGTACCAATCCAACGAAGACACAGAGGTGGCTTTCGAAAGGGATAGAACAACCACTGTTAGTATTTGACAGCCGGCCAAACATAATTCTCCGGAGAGGATCTGCCTATTTGTGCAGCACTTGCATAATCTCGACTTGAGACAAGGAGGACAGAACACATGCAAGGGCATAGAATGCATTGGCGAAAGGCAGTCCCAAAAACGACTTGCCCATCCGCCAGCAGTGAGCGGTCTGGCAGTTGGAAGTTCCAACTAGGGACGCCTTGTCGACTTCAACAACCTTACTCATTACATGTGTAGAAGCGTATGTAACAATATGTGCCATCCAATCCTGCACATGGAGGTGCCTGGATAGCACTTTTGAACTGGGAGAATTGTGCTGCTTGACTGTGCCATCAACTGCTACACGGATGTTGTCCCACCTTCCAGTTTCACTTGTCACTAAAGAATCTCCATCCATCTATCTATGCTCGCGCTGCTCCCTCCACAGCTCCTCAGTCCATCGCTGTGTCTTAGTACGTTCCATTCCCCCTTGCTGGACTCCTCCCACTGTATCCATTCTGAATTACAGAGAAGTTATCCTGAAAAGCTGTGGCAGGCTGTTGAGCCCTAATGATGATCAGAGCTGCCACATTCACCAGTTCAGGCACCTCACTCAACAGGAAACAAGTTAAAACACAGTGCCAACAGAATGGGCAAAACGTATGGGGCTTTAGTTGCTTTATCATCTGTACAAGTTCACGACCAAGCAGGCCCCGTTCCATTACCTCTGTGGAAGGAAGGCGAATGGTCACCCTTCCCGCCTTCCTAATCCAGCCCATGTAGTTTCACACCGGCTGCATTCATAAGCCTGCATCTGCCGCAGCTACTGTGAGCTTTGCCCCTTATGCTCATGCTGCAAGAAGCTGCTCATCCCCTTCTCTGGCCCCTCCGCCCCTTTCTTCCTCCCCTGCCGATAATGCCCCTAGCCCGTCGACCACGGGTGCCATCCATGGACGGAACGTTGAGTTGTGTGTCGTCCCTCGCTGCTCCACCCACTCCAGACAACTTCCTCACCCAAAAGTCGCACAACAGAGGCAGATGGTCGCTTGGCCATTCTTCTGATGGCATGGACTTCCATATCACCTGGTCCCCGGGGGGCATCAGCACCCGTAAGGGCTGAAGGGCCCACCCATTGTGAACACTAGGTGTGAAGAATATGAAGTCCACAGTGCTTTTTGTCATGCCATGCCAAGTCGTAAATTCTGGGTCATCACCCAACACTGTAGCATAAGCACTCTCAAGCTTGAAGCTATGCTGAACAATCCATTTTTGAAAACCCTTACCCCTGCCGCCTCGCCGTTGACCAGATGAAGCCCTGCATCCCATGGCAATTTCCAGGTCTTGGGCACTCCAACCAGCTGGCAGTACTGAACCCCTTGAGCTCCTGCCAAATGACAGGTTTGGGGGTACCGAGACATGCGCTTCAGGAGAAATGATAGGGGGCATATCAGCGAACCTTTGATCGTCAGAATCTGCATAGTAAGTGGGAGCCCACCAGTTCCTCATCTTGCTTGTCCCCAACGTCTGCTGTGTGTTCATCGGATTGCATTTCAGCATGCTGGAGATGTCTGGAGATATTGCCATCGCACTCTCTGCTCCAGCTTGGGTACATAACTGAACTCCTCTCCTGTCCCCTAAATCTCCAGCAAGGCTGCCAGAAAACTGCATAGGCTGACAAGGCCCTCCTGGCACCTCGCCTTTGCCCATGCAGGCATCCGGTAGAGTAACATTGGCAAGGCTGGCTGTTACTTTTGCCAGACTGGATGCATCTGGCACCCGGGTTGAGGAGGTCTCCTTCACTTCAGTTGTGCAACCGCCCACAGCTGCTTGGACCCGTTCAAGGTCAGAACATGAATAGTCTGGTTTAGTCTTCTGCTCAAGCCCCACTGATCGATCGCTCTGAGCAATAGTCACAGGTGTGGTGCTGGGAACCACTGAACATTCTCCATCAGTTTTTTCCTCGTCCTTTTCATGCATCAAGCTATCTGAGCCCAAGCCGGGCGGTTTCCAAGCCCAGGGCGGAGGCTTGCCCCGCCAGCGACGCTCACTCTGGATGTGGGCTGCGGCAGCGACATCGGGATCTGCTGACTTGGAACTGTTGTCTGTAGCTGACACATTTCCAGGCTTATGGCTATCTTCTGAAGAACTAACAAAAACGTTCTGCACTTGTGCGCGTCGTCTTTCATTCGATCGATGATCCTGTTGGAGCAATCTGACAGCCAAATCACCATTCCCACAGCTGGTTTGGCTATTTGCAGGATGGAGACTTTGCTCAAGTCTGGCCAAAGGGGTCAAGCTACTGGGATAAGACATTTTGGCTGGCAGCACATCATCAATCGACATTGGGTTGCTGGACAGGCCATGCTGCTCAGATCCATGCCCATTGTCAACCAAGTGAGTGGCCCCAACGACAGCCACACACCCCTCTGCTTCCAATGCCGTCTGGTTGTCTTGAGGAAGCTCAGTTGCATGTGTTGGTGGCAAAGGGGGAGGAGGCGTCAGAGGTGGGGAGGGGGGTGGAGGTGGAGGAACCTCAACTGGCATTGGTGCATACTCTCCAACGTACCCATCTGCATTTCCAAACCCCCGGACATGCTGCAGAGGATCGTAGGAGCCCATTGGGGAACCTTTATCGTCCTCACAAAATCCGCGATGCCACTGAGGGTTTGGGGCCACATTCTGCACGGCAAACATCGGGTTAGGTGAATTTGCACTTGTGGCTTGAGCTGACAGAGCAGGTGCCATCCCCAGCAGTGTGTCCTCAAGCAATCGAGCTCTGTTTCCAGCAGCGAGGTATTGGTGAGTAGATGGTGTCTGGGGTTGCACTGGGGCTGCATTGGGCTCAATGCCATCACTGGGTATTGATGAGGCGCTCATGGCACCTTGAACATTCAGGGCGGCAGCATGTATGTGCCTCCAGGCTTCATAAGAAAGGCTGGTGTCTTGCACCGACTGTGTCACCAGGCGTTGAGAAGCACCATGAACTGGTTGACAATCTGATCCAGCATTCCACTGTGAGGACTGGCCTGATGGTGGCTCCACACCAGCAACCTTCCGCATCTCATTGCCAGCCATTGTGTGGTCAGAAACACCAGCAGGAAAGCAATGTGTCGCAGGGCTGCTATAAGGCACAGCTTGAAAAAACTGTTGTTGGTATGTATCTTGCACGTGTTGTTGGGGAAGGCCTGCATACAAACACATACAGCAGTGAAATCTGCGTTGATGGGAAGAAAGAAAGGTCGCTGACAGAGCCACATGACTGCCCAACCTACCTGGGTGTCCTGATGCTCCAACAGAATCCAATTGTGCCTCCCCTTCCGCACATCCAGCATTAGGAGCAGCTAGATTGTCTTTCAGGTTTGCAAGCCCAACGCTGGGCACGAAACCTGCAGCTGCTCCTTCTGCAATCTGCCCCATCATTGCACTGTCACCAGCTGCAGCAGAACACACCACATCAGGAGCAATGCAGCCATCCAGCTCAGCTGCTTCCAGTACAGGCTTGCGACCATCCATGCCCAGTGGTGGCTGGTGCTTGGTGTCCCTGATTCTGTCATGCAACACATCAGGGTCCAGTGGAGATTGATCTGCAAGTGCTGCTTGATCTGGCAAATGAAGCCAGGGGTGGCCACCCTGACTCATTGACGCCTGATACATGGCATTGGGGCTTTGAACATCAGGAAGGAGGAGAGGTGGTGGCAGGTTCATACATCCAGCACTATTGTTCCCTGTTGAGGAGAGCAGTGAGACTCCAGCAGCACCCACAGCACTCCCAGAAGCAGCGGCATTGGCCACCGAATCACCGTTGCTCCCCACGAATCCTGAGCCAAAGTCAACAGGAGCTCCAGAACCCCCACGAAGAACTGGCTGAGCAGCACCGAGCAGGCTCCGATTCACACAACTGGGTGCATCTGCTCCAGTCGACCCAGTACCCTGGGGGGGACACTGGCTCGGTCTTCCTTCCATCTGGCCTGCAACAAGAATGTTCAAACATGATGTCAGCTGCCGCAAACAACAAGGACTGTTGGAGCACAATATTGGCGGCCCCAATTTGTGCAGGGGAACTGCCCCCTTGTCATGTGCAGAATGGGCTGAAGCCATGAACCAAAAATGAAGTTGGGCAACTTGGCTCCAAAAACCAAAAAATTGCGTCACCTAAATTTGCTTTAGGGATGTTGAAACAATCTCCAGCCCCTGCAGCCAGGATGCAAGCTGACCTGTTGACGCGCGTTTGTTGAATTGATTTTTCTAACCCTGAACTTTCAGAAGTGCTGCACACCGCGTTACGCTGCTTTGGCATTCTCGAATCATAGCACAATTATACTCCACCTCAATTTCTTTGCTTGGTGCAACAGATTTTCTGGGATTGCTCATTAGATAAGAGCATAAATGTGCTGTGAGCAAAAATTGGAATCGTGAATAGCCAGTGCATTGACAGGTACAGCAAAGCCCTACAGAAGTTGCACTACAGGTGCTTGAACAAAGGCGAAATTGAAAATGTGGCTCCTAGAGTGAGCTACAGCACTACCCTTGAATTTCCACGTCTTGACAGATTGTGGCATCCTTGAGCCATGCATCGGTATTCCTGTTGGGGCATGAAATATGCATGACACAAGCAACTTGTGCAAAAGGAAAAGAGGAGAAAGCTATTGATGCGGTGATACTGCAGACAACTTTCAATGCACAGAGGAAAAGTCGAAGGATAAATCAGATCCAACAGGATCATTGGCCCATGCTTGGACCATGCCACAAACATCGACACTGACCTGACACTGCGCGTCTTTCGCAATCTGCACAATCAAACTTCCCTTCGACAATGAATCTGTAAAGGCCACTGCCAGGTGCCGAATTGAAGTCCCCAGCCACAATGCACAGAGCTTGTTCTTGAGTGTGGGGATCAAAAGACAATTTGGCCATTGTCTCAAGTAAGGTTCTCACCTGCAACAGCCAATACCCTGCTGAGGAGGTTTCATGGCCACAAAACAATATTCCCATCCCAGGTTTGCAGACTGCTCTCCTAGATTTCACATAAAAATCGATGCAGCCGACAACAACACTGTGAGCAACACCACGTCTCTGTAAATCTGGTCACAGACTAGCAGATTGGCATCATTTGTCCTGTGCATGACAGTGCTACCCATGCTATGCACGTCAGCCTACTGCAATAGTCAGTTTTCTATAGCAGGGCCACCAATTCCTTGTCTGTCATATCTGTCACCTGTGCCAGTTTGATGTCTCCACGCTTGGGGTTGAATAGGACATGAAGCTGTCCAACAGCTATTGGGATCAGATTTGTGCCTGGACAGTGAAAGTGTGTGTGAATGTAGGTATGGAGAGCCTGCAGAAGACATCTGTGCAGGGAATGGGTGCACTGGAGCATTTGCAGAGGCCATGACAGCACCCCGTTCAGCTTGAGAGCTGGTTGGGCTCTGTTGCAGGTGCCGCTCAAAGCAGAAACTCACCACGAGGGTACAGAACAACCACCAGGCCAGAATCATCCCTTAATCCCCACTCCTGGAAGTTCAGACTTTCATTGTACAGGAGTTCAAACTTCCCTGCTAACCTGCATGCACACATGAAAATGTTGTTGAAGTGTCACACATTCCTGACTGTCATGCCCTTTTCTGGGAGCACCTGCCACAGCCAAGCAGGCAGTATGCACTCTAGACGGAGCAAAACTTGGCCAATGCACAAGGTATGGCCACAGCCACGCCTTCTTAGCTTCATCTAATTGGAGATGGCCCGCACGCACCAGAATGTGGCACAACCATCAAGATATGACCCGCTGCGTTTCACAAACAACCCAAGGTACCTAACCACACAACCACAAACCAGATTTCAGCTCACAAGATTGAAGTGGGAAAAAACTTTGTGTGCTTCACTTCTTCCACACAAAGTGCAGACAACAGCAAGAAAGCAGACTGCGACTCGATGATGGCATGTGTGGTACACATTTTCGCCAGGATTAGAGCCAGAATGAATTTGTCTAGATACGCACCCCATCGGATCCAACTCCGCCTGAATCTGATCAAAACGGTCCACCTCTTGCAGGCACACAACATCTGGTCGATGGTACTGAATTTCGTTCCTGATCAGCCTCCACCGGTATCGCCAGCTCAAGAACTCTCTGGGACAATTTGGATACAGATCCTCCACGTGTTTGTGTGCCTGTTCCACAAGGGCAATGTCGGTGCTACATAAGGCAATCATGTTGGCAAAGCATCCCCTAAACCGGCTAAACAGAAAGTCTTGTCTCTGGGCAGCAATAAATGGACTGGTCCATTGGAAAGGGAAAAACAGGATGTCGGGCATCATCCCTGGTCCTTGTGAACAGCACCCATCATAGCCTCACTGTCAACTGTGCAGGGATTTATGATTATGTTATGACTGCAATCAGCCGGGAATTGCATCCTGAGAGAGGAAAGCAAACGAGCGTTGCTGCAATGCAGAGTGTGGACAGATACGAGATAGTCATCCGGCCCCATTAGATCGGTACCCAATCCAGAACTCGGTCATGTGCCCCTTACCAGATGCTCAGCAAGGATGTTGTAAGTCATGACACGAAGCTGGCAGCCGTTTGGAGTTGTGGCAACCTACTGACAAGAAAGCAAATGTTGCAAACCATGTGCACAGTGGGCCAGTCGTATCCGCCGTTCTATGCTATGCTCATGACAGCTGCAGACACAAGAGCACTAGAGTGCGTTTTGGCCACTGTGCTCCCATCCCCGAGAAACAGTACCACAGTTCAAGGGAACGTGCTCTCTTTCAATAAGCGATTCCATATTTTGGGACCACCAGAAACAAAGAAACCAACAGGGAGATGTGACACCCCTGCTCATGGGATCCGCAATATCAGTAAGTGGTCACCAGTATTTGCAACATGCCGATATCGACCGACCACAATGCCGGTTGCGGATTCGACTGAGACAAGCCACTGGTCCCCTCATGGCTGCGCAGCTGCTCTCCAATTTGAACTGCATGGCTTACGTTTTCCTGGCTCCATGGTCTTCGGCAACCAGGAATGTACTCCAGCCCGCGATCTCCTTCGACAGCGGAGGCCATCAGGCCGGCCGAAACTCCCAGGTCTGGTCCCAACAGTTCAAAGCCCAGCTACGTTGCGCAGCAGCGCAGGTGGTCCCGTTCAAGCCCAACGCCTGTTCATGCACATGGGGAACGAAAGCACAGGGGCGGGGAGTGGGATTCACCTTGTGCGCCCAGCAGAATAAGAAACCTTTGCTAGGCGTGGTGCTGAAGGTTAGGTTTGCAAACATTCGAAAGAGTGCAACTAGGGGGGGCAAGTTCCTGACGGGCACTGTCGTAACCAGAACTGATCGAGTACAGTAGGAGTCCCTATATAGCGCCCCCCCCCCCGTGACATGGCCAAAAGGGGGGCGCTATTGGGGGCCGGGGGCGCTATTGTGTCAATTGGATACCCTGAGCAACCGGTGTAAAGGGTACCCTGGCTGCCAGTGTAGGGAGTACCCTAAACTGCCAGTGTAGGGGGTATCATGTCCGCCGGTGTAAGGGGTACCATAGCCGCCGGTGTAAGGGGTACCATAGCCGCCGGTGTAGGGGGTACCCTGGCTGCCATTATAGGGTGTACTCTGGCCGCCTGCAGGGGGTACCCTAACTGCCTTGGTACGGGGTACCTTGACCGTCAGTGTGGGGGGTACGCTACCCCCAGCCTACTGGGTCCATACCGGCTTTTGGGGCTAGCGACTGTCGCAGCGCCGAAGTCGCGGGCGCTGGGGCCTGTCGCAGTGAAACAAAGCACTACGGGAACGGTGACGAGCCGTAAAGGGAGCCGCTAAACTTAGACAGGTCGCTAAATAGGGGTCGCTAAACCAGACCCCTGTACTGGTTTGAGGTCCCACTGCGCAACAAAGCTGCATAAAGTACTACATAAATGGTGACATGCCAAAAAAGGGGGCGCTATTGGGGGCCGGGGGCGCTATTGGTGGGGCGCTATATAGGGACCCCTACTGTATTATTAACTGCTGGATGCATAGAGGTGATGAGGCAATAGCAACTGAATTAAAGACACTGATGAACGGACCGGATATAAGGGACAGAGTTCCTGTTGTCCCCTTGCTTCCGTGTAAACCGTTGCCGTGTAATCGAGGAGAATATATTTGTGCCCACATCTTTTCTGTGAGGATCCCTTCTTCTGCTGCTGACAAGGCCAACGTGGGTCAGTGGGTTTGTTGTTTTTAGGGTTTAGGGTGTCGAAACAAGAATCGACAATCACAAAAAGGACAGAGGGACTAATTCCATGCCGTAATCGAGCGTACGGCCCCCAGTCAGGGGTCGCCCCCCCCCCCCTGCATGCCTTCGTCCGCACCACCAATTGGTCGTTCCTAGTGAAGGTGAGCTGGAATATTTTCAGATCTTGGCGACGGCCTGTCGCCTTTCGTCCGACTCCTGGTTGCGACACCCTTCACCAGGCCCTCCAGTCCGACGTGATGATACAACAGAGGCTGCGTCGACGGATGACTGTGTGCACGCGACTGTGACCTGTAAGGCACGCGCCCACGTGGCATACCCGCTGGCCCAAAGCTGACCGGCGTGTCGGCACCAGACACCTCCATCACCCGGCTTGCAACTGAATCCGCGGACCCCAAAGGCGCCTCTGTCACCCAACCATTGACTGCGGAATGGCAGCTGCGCATCTCCACAGCGACTGAGACTGGGCGCGGTGAGCTCTCAAGGTGGCCTGACGTGACGTGCTACTGAGTTCGTGAAGGTGTCGTCCAGGTAGAGACGACTGGACCGCTGCGCATTCGCAGGCAGCTGCCACTTGCTCTGTCAGCCAGCAGGGCGAACGCGGTTGATGTCGGTTGCATCGCATCTGGCCGGTGAGCGCAATGAGCACACGTGGCCCGCACGTGTCGATGCCACCGTTGCTTGCTGTTTGGTTGTCACTGTGCGCGAGCCTCCTTTCTGTTGACGTTCTTTCGTGTTGTTGTTTGTTGGTCACGTGCATACCCCACAACGTCGATTGGCCTTTGTGCTCACTGCATCTCATCTTGCCGAGACATGGAGTCCTGGGAGCGACAATGCCGATGTGGTTGCCTCAGAGGTTACCGCCGTGGTCGCCTCAGAGGGGTCTTTTCAAGGACGCGGCTCTCGCCTAGCGCTTCTACGCTCGTCTTTGCCGGTGAGTCCTATTGGGCGGGTCAGTGTGCGTGGCAATTCGTCACTGCCAAGCGTGCGATTTGGCATCGCGAAGGGGCATGTTTCCTTCGGTGCGCAAGGTGTCGCTCAGTGAGGCTCAGCTCACGGCAGCCACGCTTGCTTTCGTTCTTCCCGCGAGCGCACCTCCCGCACCGAAATCAGCCAATCCACTTGTTGAAGATGGTCTTGGAAGTAGTGTGGAAAACCTGTAACACTGCGGACCCCGATTGGCGTGCAATTAGCATTGAGACTAAGGCACCATTGTCCGTGGACAGGGTAGTGCGACAGAGACATTTCGACCACAACTCGGGTGCACCAGGAGAGAGCCATGCACTCCACATCTCTCACCGCGCAGTCCCGGTGGCTGGCGGTGCCAGGTCACAGTTGGATGCCGTCCGCTGGGGTCAGTCCGCAAGGGACCAGGCTTCCAGGCACGCCAAGGGCTTCGGCGCACGACGGTGCCGTCAGTACCCACCCAGATGCCGCACACAGAAGACGAGAGGCGGAGTCCAGGTGACCGTGTGTGAGCACTGCGTGGGTTCGCCGCCCTGGCCTGTGTGCTCTGGCGTGTGCACGGACGCTTCCCGGTTTTGGCGTGTATAGCGCCGTTGGCACGTGGACTCGAGGTTGCGCCTGAGCTTGCCAAGCGGTAGTCGCCGGAGTGGGCGCCAGGAACGCGCCGAAGCGCGGGCGCGGCCCACCGTGGGGATGGGAGGGCGCGAAGTCGAACGCTCCGTCCATGCCTTCGGAGGTTGGCGCAGTTTACCCCGGTCTCGCCGATGTTGACTGATGGAACAGTCGATGGAATGATCGAATGACACGCACGACCGACTACACGCGCGATTTCGTACAAGGAGAGTGAGATTGACTGTGTGGTGGTGGCGGGGAAGGGCACCTTTGTCCGCGGGGCAATGTCCTGGACGCGCTCTGAGTGCTTCCTCTTTGCGCGTTCTCCTCCCAGGCAGCGAGAACGCAAGCTGCAGATGGAGGGCGTGCAGCGGAGCATGAATGGGGAAGGTGGAGCCATGCCTCCCAACATGCTCCAGGTGCACCTCCCTGCGGAACTGGACCTGCGCGTGCAGCCATTCTCCCGCAACGGCCAGCTGGTGGCCGTGCACTACAAGGGGCCCTGGTGCGCCCCATGCACGTCGTGTGTAGTACAAGCTGAAGAAGATTGCTAGGCTGAACGTCCACGCCGTTTTAATCGTCGTCGACTTGACAGACGACGATCTTCGCCAGCACTGCCAGGCGCTGGGGGTGGACAGAATCCCGTATTTCCATATATACAAGGACAGCGTGCAGGTTTTCCCCTTCGGTTGTAGTTTGCAGAAGATCGACAGGTTGAGGGACGAGCTTCGCCGGAAAGGGGGGAAGGGATGCCGGCAGTGGGAGGCCTTCAGCCAAATAGCGCCAGCGTCATCTCGAAATAGCCCTTAGGAATCTTGAAGTTCCAAAGCTCACATGGGGATCCCAAATTGGGATACCTCCAAAGGGCAGTTTGGAAGCCAGAGGAAGTCATGATGTGGTATCATGTGGAATTCTTGTGTACCTATTGCCAGGCTTGGTTTTTACGTTTACGTTTACGTTTTTACTTTTACGTTTTTACGCGTAAAAACGTAAATTTGCAAAAGGGCCTATTTTTACGGCTATTTTTACGTTTTTGCGGCTCCCTGGCACACGTAGTTTACACGATTAAAGTTGCATACAATGATCAGTCCTCCGCCATCTCCATCACCCGGAGCACAATGTCCACCTCGCCTGTGGCAAGGGCGATAATGGCGTTTAGCAAAAACTCGTTTTCTGCCTCTTCCAAGGCGTCTGGCTGCTACTCTCCGGACTCCGTAAATCTATATGTACTGTCCTTATGTACACCAGGCAGTTTTTACGTTGTATTTACGTATTTTTACGCATTTTTATGCGTAAAAACGTAAAAACTATTTTTACGCGTAAAAACGTAAATACGATCAGTTTTTACGGCGTAAAAACCAAGCCTGCCTATTGCCAGAACTGGGCTCGGTAAAACGCAATTCGGAAGTGCGTGATGCCAGCAGCCTGGTGTTGCAGGCATTGCTTGCGCTGGCGCTTGTGCTGGTGGGCGAAGCGAGGGGTGTCATGGCCCCTGGCAGCGCCGCGGAGCCGCAGACAAGGCACTCGGGTTTTGTAGGTTGCTAGGCCAACGCCTGAGCGCCACTTTCTAATTTTGGTAATTCATATTAGCTACCTGTGTGTTTTGTTTCAAAATGGCATATGCGGTCCGAGTACGATTCTTGTTAGGTGAGCCTTTTTTTTCCACGCTGCAAGGCAGCAGCTGGGGATGTATGAATTGGATTTCCCCAGTTGCGGACAGTCAGGATATGGCCATTTGCTACCCCAGGTGGTGACAGAAAAATTGTTGAAGCAGCTCCTGGCGGGCTTCGCGTGCAGTGTTGGACCCCGAAAAGGCGGAAGCAATTACTAATGGGAGCAATTCATTACCCATGGGCACTCCTGAAGTTTCTCATCTGATGTTTCTTGGCGGCTGCTTGAATGGAGGCTCCTGGTTCAACACCACAATTGGAGAATTGGGAGGTTGGTGATAGGCAATAGGACTACAGGGCTGAAACTCCATTTGGTGGGACAAATGGTGGCCTTTGCAGTTGGTGCGCTTACTGTGCACACATTGTGCAGTATCTCTATCACCAATTTCAAGGTTGGCTCTCGAAAACGAAGAGCAGCGCATCATGAGGATTTTCTGCACATTTGCGTTGTTTGGCCACTGCCGCCAAAATATAAGAGAGTGGTGGAAGCAGAAATATGGCTTGGTACCTTGTGGTGGGTGGTCTGCAGATCTTGCGTTCATGCGAACGAGCGCAATGATTGCTCCCCAATGCAATATGCTTATGAAGAGACCGGTATGTGAATTTGCTGCACTTCCACGACCTGTGAGCACAGACAGCTATGTTATCAACAAAGCTCCGACTACCAACGCATCCATACATGTTCTTGTCGGAGCTGCAGGTGATGAAGTTGCACTGTATGCACAACCGCCTGGTACTGTTGCGGAGACGGTTTGGTGATGCGTTCAAACGTCGCAAGACTACCAATAGTGTAAAATCACTATGTTGTGGCATTTGCACTTGCACATGCCACGTGAGGTCTGACATCTGAAGCGGCCCTTGGCTTCAAGGCAACTGAACCTATATTCTGGCTCTTGCCTCGTGAGGATCAATCTTTCATCCCAGGCCACGTCAACCTTACCACATGGCTACAAGAGCAAACAACTTCAGAGAATCGCCAGAGCTGTGCCATAGCTCGAGGCCGTGGCTGCACCTGGCACCAATATCAGCTCAACGCAGCGTTCAACACCATTAATCCGATGCGCAAAAGCAAGACTTCTCAATCCGCCTTCATCCGACGTTTTCCCGACATCAGTGGGGGCGCCACACTTGCGCTAGCGCAAGCAACTCCCCAGCGCTGTAGTTACTGCGTTCCCGCAGTTGGCGTAAAGGACTGGGCAATGGCGTCCAGGCTCGAGATGCTCCACACCTGGTCTTGAAGCTTGATGATGCCATTCTCGTTGGTGGTGTACGTAACCGTGCCTGTCGCACAACGACCGCGTAACCAGATGGCACTGACTCAGTGGCGCCCTCTACGACGAGTTGTCAATTACCCAACATCGGGCCATTACCAATGATCAAACGGCAGAAGAGCGATGTTGATTTGCCCAAGCCAAATTGCTGACTGGATGAATTTCAGGTAATTCACGTGAAGCTAGTGATCTCGACATATATAGCAAAGGATACCGCGCGCAACTTTGAGTTAAGCAAACTTCAAGCAAATGAAGTACTTCCTGGCAGTGCGACGAAATTGGAGCTCGCTGAATTCTTATGGAAATGAGCCATCGATGCGCGTAAACTGCCAGGAGTGCTGTCCACTCCAGACCCGACAATCGTGCCGAGCTTAGTAATGTCGGTTACGGAGCCGTTTCCTTCCCTGCGAAATCGAATTTTGACTCTTAGGGACAACGAGCCGATGAAGTTTACTACCACGAGATGTGCCGTTGAGGGCTGAGACACCCGCGGTTCCAAATCACATGTTCCCACCAATCGTGAAACTATCTAGCGCGCCAAGCTGGGCTCTGCAGCAGGACAGCAAACTCTACAACAGATCTGCTCCGAAGGAAAGAAAATGCTAGGTTGCTCTTTGTTGCAAGATCCTTTGCTATCTACCGCATTGCTAATATTCTTTGAAATAATCAGTCGGCTGAGCGCCCCAATACTGCGAGCATTCGGAGCATTGCCTGAATGCTAGGACACGTGTGACATTACCTTCGTGTGGATTCGCGCCGGGAAACACACACTTCTTGCATGGGCAATCTTTCTGTGTTGGATGAATTCACATACACATCCACAATAACATTACGTTAAGCGTTACGAATACGCCCCACGTTAGTTATGCCCCACGTGCTCACCATCGACGGGCGGTATTCGGGGATTCCAAGGGAATTTCAGGTACCCTGCCAGTGTGAACTGTGCCTCGATTGTCGTGGGACTCGACACCTTTATGCTCTTCAGCGTCACAGAAGACCTCTTGTCATCGAACAGTAGATCAAGAGCCTGAGCGGGGGTCCAAAATCTCAGCTCAAGCACAGCGGAAGGGCAGCAAAGCAGCGGAAGAGCACCACAAGGGGCAGCTCCCGACGCTGCTGTAGGATCCCTTTGCGACGAAAAGTTTGCTAGGTGGAAGTTGAGAGCAAGCTTTTGATGCGTCGCTTCCCCGAAATTTGAACCGAAATTGCATACCTTGACGTATCTGTTCAGACCGACGGTATCATTGGTGGGGTCAGTGAATCTGGACACATGCAAGAAGGGCAGTGGGCAACAACAAACATGGAGCAAAACCCGGTCCAGGTCCGGAAAGCAAGGCCTACTACACTGTCGCACCGTAATGCCGCTGTTGGATCAATTTTGTCTGAATGAGCAAAACACCGTCTGAAGTGAATAACTGAGGGAGAAAGGAACTGAACAGAAATCAAGGGTTTGCCCATTCACTGCCGAGACGTTGCAGGGCATCGCCACCACCTGTTCGCGCAATGCGAGCCGTCGTGACCATCACGGCACTTTGTTGGCAGTGGACGAAACATGCAATTGGCGAGTCGCCATTCATGGCCAGTGCCAGTATTGGCAGCGCACCTGCAATCGTCTGCGAACACCTCTGGCGTCAAGTTCCCCGTCACAAAGTACTGCCTCTCGCCCAGGTCGGCTGCCAGCACGTCCTGGACCCCACATGGCGACCGCACCACGCTCTCAATCAACAAACGAGGGCCAAACAGACGGGCCGAGACCGCGCGCGTCCGTGGCTCCACCGGACATCCCCAGGCCACGTTTCCGCGCTTCACAACACACGCGATGCCAATTTCCGGCGCGCATCAACCACGCCAAATGCCATCCATTGCTCACTTTGAGCTCCTCTATGGAGATGCCGTTCCTCTTTTCCCCGCCCAACCTCTCCACTTTCCCCAACGGCGCCAGCTCGACGGCCGTCGCGGCAGAGGCGGCCCCCCACAGACACAGCGACGGCAGGCCGCAGAGCAGGAGGCGTCGCCGGTCGGGAGCACATGCACTGCCCTGAGCATCGCATCTCACGCGGACACCGGATCGTGACCGTCGTTTGGGTAGGTGCACCGCAGCGGACGCCCCCAACAGCGCGTGCTGTCCAGCCCGCGCAACGCTTGGCCGGACGGCCGCCGGCTTTGCGTCGCCAGCCATGGGTGCTCCTCTGGTCGACGGGGAGGGCCTCAGCAATTTCCCGGGCGCAGTAGTTCGTGTCCGGCTTGAACCCGCCATGTCAATCCCGGTTGAGTGTCCGTTTTAATTCGATTCGAAGGCGTCCATGTGTCCCAACACTTGAGGTCGCTGGTCAGCGTGCGGATGCAGGCTCCGGTTTAGGTTTAGGGCCGCACGATGACTAAGGTAGTGACGGATCAAGCGCCATATGCTTGCAGCCCGATGTTTGTCATGGGATTCACGGGGCCGGTGTTTGGCCAGCGCCCAACACTATGAAGCATGTGGGTGGTGACAACGGTAACATCAGTGTCTGCCTCTCAGGTACGGTCACAAGGCAACAATTACTGCGAAGCAGCGAGAAGAAAGAGTGGGACCATAAAGCTACACATTGTGGAATAAGCACGCACAACTTCCGCACAAGGGTATTCATCCGCATGACCCTGCTGAAGGGCCATCCACTATCTACGTTGTTGTTATCAGTGATCCTTTCAGATACACACAGTGAGAATTGCCCATTGCTCAGTCATGTCTCTGAGGGTCCACCACGGGGCTCTAGTCTCAATGAAACATGTACCCCAAAAGTATGAGATGACAAATCTGCTTGGCGACAGCTCCCAGCAGCACTCGAGTCCGGTGTTGCCGGCCAACAACGTGTTTCATGATGCTGGTCAGCAGCGGCATTCATTCGGAGTTGGCGTATTCCAGCCTGCAGGATTCTGCCAACCATTTGCGAAACACATTGCCCATTGCAGATACTGCAAATCCATCAGCCAATGGGACAGTGGAGTAACGCACCATGGCGTTGCTTCTGTTCAGAGGGCGCCACCAAGCAACGGTACATACAGACAGAGTCGGAGGATGTCGTCCGAGAGCATATGCTTACATGGAACTGCTCCAATGGCGAGCGGAAAAACGCCTCCCTGGGCACATGCGCCACACATGCGTCGGCCAATGCGTTAGCGAAGGTGCCGCATCATCCCAACTTAGAACAACATGGTGGTGATGCTCGGAATTAGCGCCACCGCTGATCCATCCGCCAGATGGAAGCGTAGCTGATACGCGCTTGTCATGTCTGTCAATTGGCTGGCCACATGCGGAGCGAAACTCATACCAGCGCAATGCTCAAGTTGTTCTTCGCGTACTTGGCCAAAAAGCTAGCGTTGTGAATCGAATTGTGCGCTTGGACCTGCTCCGAGGTGTTCGCTTTTGCCACGGCGATTGACACAGTCTCTTTCTTGAGGGGCCCGGACGCCCCCTTCTTTTGGCTATTCCAAGAACGGGTGCGTGGCAAAGTCCCTGGGTCATTTCTGTCAGCTCAAGTCTCCCAAAAGACTGAGCAGACTGATGGGATCATCTGTCAAAGATTTGGGGTATTTCGCTGGCCAATGTGTCCACTCTCATTGTTTACGTTTCCTTTTCGGCCATGGTAATCGATGCATCGATCAATTCTGCAACATCGTTGGGATTTGTGCCCATGTTCACATGCAGGAGTATTCGGAATTCCCGGAATCCAATCCGAACTCATCTTTTATGCGACTACTCTGGTTATCCCAGGCCATTCCTACAGCGACTTCACCGGCCATGTTTGTGCATGTCGACTACCCAGAACGTACAACTGGCATGCTATCATAATGGGCATTGTGAACATTAAACTCATCAGGCGGTAAGTCGAGTAATGACTAAATTCTGCAAACCCATGCCTTTCACCAGTCGGATACTCTGCATGTACTTCCAGACCTATGTCACAGATGTGTTAAATTGCTGTCGTTGTTTCTTTGCCATGACTGCTTCCGCCGGACGTTTTGTAACGTTAATCAAACTCCACAGCCAGCAAAAGGCTTACGCGCAATTTGGAATTTCAACGGACCCCATCTATAGGTATCTCTCTGGAAGGCATCCAGAGCTGGGCGCCATGTACGTCACGGTCCCCTCACCATCCTCCCTGACGTCCACTCTTTGGATGAAAACTAAACTGGCAATGCTGACTGACGGAATCTCCTCTATTGTCTGCGAACGTGACACGCCCAACTGGCAATTGGATATTTCGTCGCCAACCTTCATAGCCGTAATCTTCAGAGGATTCGCCAGCGATACAGTCCCAGCAGGGCGTACAGACGGCAGTGATTGCCGCCCTCCATCAATGCGGCAAATGTTCAACTCTGTGGCTTGGGTGGTCTGCGAGTGCCGCATTAGTACATGCGACACACCATAGCAGCAGTCCCTTACACGGTTGGTCCGGGTTTCCCTTCTGAAGTCTGGCGTGCGAGTCACAGCCCCGGCGGATTTAGGCAACCGAAAGACCTGTATGCTGGGTTTGCGAGCCTGGAACCAACAAATATGTCACATTTTCCAACTTGCGAAAACGGGAGGTAGCACTGGCTAGCACAGCATGGCTAAGGTATGGCTTCAGCACAGAAAGTATCATAAGTTGCACAGAGGGCATGCTTCTTAACTAGAAGGATTCTGTTTTGACTTCCTCGAAGATGACGTGGAAGGATGACGCGGGCATCTCCAAGCACAGCAGAAAACACAGCCAGCGGTGAGCAGCACGTGGGATACAAGAGCACGTTTTGGTGAAGCGAATGCTGTAGTACATTATGCCCGCATTGTCACATAACCTTTGGCCTTTTTATGTGGAGCAGTAACAAAAAATAATGGTGCCAAGGAAATGCGGAGCAGCCCTGGCCACAACATGAGGATCTTTGGAGCGCTCACGGCATCTAGCGGCACCGGATGCATGACTTGCTGTGGTGGAAAACTGGCATTTGAGGCCATGTGAACTGAGCGAAGCCGCCATTCCGGCTGTGGCCATGATGCGGAGACCCCAAAACAACGGTCTGTCGAAAAAAATGTGTAGCAGAACTCTTAATGCTGAAATTTCAAAACGCCGAATGGTGTAATATGCTACGATGTGCTGCAAAAGAAAGAGGCTTGAATGTTGTCGCTGTCAGATCGTCCGCTTGCTAGTCATAACAATTGAACTGGACCAGCTGCTGGAAGAACATGGAATTCACCAGACACAACCACGTGTTAAGAAATGTGCATGATGACTATGAAGTAGGACAGATTACGAAAGTGCATTACCTCTGAGCAAACAAACAAATGGGCACAATGAGCATGCTGTGTTACCTGCCACAAATCACTCTCTAGTTGCTTGTAGAGACGCTCTTGTCCAATCACCAAAACAGCATCCACCTGTGCATGCACCACAAAGTGCCTCTTTTAATGTGGCAGCCAACAGCTGTCCCGATTCATGGACAGTCAATGCACAGCCTGGTTAAAATCGTGCGGTTCATGGCCCTGAAATATCAACAGGCACCATGAACAACCCCATTTTCAACAACTATGCGACCAACAGCAATAGATGCAGTAATCCTGGCACCATTGGGGTTGGCAAACCGCCCCTCACATTTAATGCCTTGATGGCATGCACAATCAATTCGTACCTGAGGCCCTTCACCCAGCCCATAGCGTTCACAAACATGCCAGAAGCAGGAACTGCTGGGTGTCTGTTTGCTGTGTGCTCCAGCAGAGCTGCCAGCCTCTCAACCTGGTACTTGTACAGATCGGCATTGCATGTTGGAGCTGTGCGTCCAAAGTAAAACGCCAACGGCACATCCAGTGGATACCCATCGTCCACAGTCACTGGGAGCTGAACAGGAGTAGCAGCGATGGTGCCTCGTGGCCCGATGCTCCCTTGCCCTGCATATACATGCACAGACAATTGTGCTGCCATTGTCGAGAAAGGGGTGCCTCCAGCTTCCACACAACAGTTTCCCGCAATAGGGAGAGAAGCTACCTGGAGCTGCACTGATAATGTGGGCGAATTCCCCCTTGCCACATCCCAACATATGTTGCCAGAATTCGTGCAGCCAAGAAATTTACCATGGGCTGGTGGCCGCAATGGGGTTGCTCAGCCGGTGGTGAAAAGGGTCTGCCTTGTCTTTGCAGCACCCAGTAGAGGTTGGATCCATGGATCATTTGCCAACTAAGAAGTGCTCAGTCTACCCTGCACATGCAAATTTGTTTGGTCTTCCTCCATTTTGTAGAGTACATTATCTCGACTTCAAGGCAATGTAGGGCACTGAATGTGCACTTGGGAAGCCAGCAAGAGTCCTAGTTGAATGTTGCACACAGGCCGCACGCGAGCTTACTCCAACAAACGGCTTTTGGTCAGGATGCACTTCCACTCGAAGCTCTGTTGCCGAAGGAAGGCACAGGGACAGGACATTCAAAGTGATGTACCTCAACCCACGTTGTACTTTGTGTCCTACGTGCTAGCACAGGCGAACCCAGCAATTGCTTGCCATTGCTCCAATGCTGGCGTCACACAGACAGATGCCAAATTCACATCTGTATCCCTTGTGAGTAACAACAATACCTAAAGGGGCATGAAGTGACCCAGAATTTACGCAGGTGCTTCCTCAACATACCGTCATTAAATGAAAGGCCCTTGGAAGAACAAGAGAACAACGCAGCGCACAGCAATTGCGGAAAAGCGTGCGATCAGCAATTTAGGCATCACGATGACCCTCTTTTCAATGGATCGGTGGCAGCCCGCTTGCCAGGATGCTGGCCACAACTTGATATCGCCTCACCTCCTCTCCGCACAGCTCAACGCTGTGCATAAACCCACCACAGTACCTCCACAACAGAGAGGTCCCCCAGCGTCATGCCGATCCCGGAAAGGCGACGTCCGGACGCGCCCAGCAGCAAAGGTCGCCAGGAAATGAAACGCAGATGATGGTATCATTCGTTCGAGCTCTGCGGTTGGCCACCGGCTCCAACACTGCGCCAACCCAAATTGATCGTCGCTGTTGCGGGGGCAGGACGTCGACAGGGATGGCCACTCTGTACGCTCTGAGCCGATTGGTGAGCGCCGCAGGGCTCGCGCTGAGTGGCGCGGCGGCCCAATGCTCCCAGCTTGGCTGTGTGTGTTCTGAGCCTTCTCTCGCGGCCCGCAGGGGAGAGGGGGAGCCAGTCTGCTGTCGAGGCCGTGGTGCATTGGAGCCGCGAGATGCTTTGCGGCGCAGGGGGCTGCTGCAGGTACTCTTGCGGATTCAGCGGGTCCTGTCGCGCCGAAGAGCGCAGCGCCGCTTGCGTGTCGGGTGGAGATCCGTGGCACTGTGGGAGGACGGGGGAGTGGCTTTGCACGCGGAGGCGCTTCGCGTGTCGCTCGTGTTCTTGGAGGGCCTCATGGCACGCTGGACCTCCTTCGAACCTGAAAATGTAGTTGTGATCCATGAGACCAAACGTCCTATGCCAGGGAGATTGAATGCAGACAGGACCAACACGGCTGTCTTGCGATGGATGAGCGTGTGGGACACGATCGACTGAGAGTTGGCGCGTTTGGCTTGTTGCAAGGGGAGGAGGATGTTGTTGTCTCAGTGGTCAAGGAGGAGCAGCAGAAGTTTCGGCAGTTCTTCGACAAAGCCAAGGTGCACTGCGGTGGAACGTTGCAAGTCGAATGACGAAGCAGAAAATGATTGATCTGACAGTGAAGCGGAAAACACCGCCGCGGTCGTTGCGCAGCAGAGGGTTCACTGTCAGGTCCTTGCATCTGGGGTGCTGAAGGGATCTTTGATGGTGCTGCAGGGCCTGCAAATACCGCTGAAGGGCGACCCCAAGGAAGTTGAAGCTTTTCATAACAAAATCGGCCAAATAAAGGAGGAGGTGCAGTGCTTGAATGGTTGCCTCGGCTCTGGGCGGTGTCTTTGGCGTGTACAGGGCATATGTAATACTGACAGAAACATGAATTGAGAATGAAGCAGGTAGCCTTCGCCAAATGCTGGGCATCCAATTGTTCCCATGTGCCTGTGATTCTATAGCAGGTGTACAGCCTTGTCTTGTCGACTTTGTGTCGAGCATTTGGGCTCCGGTGCTGATGTTGTGGTAAGACCCTCAGAAGTTGCAAGCACTAGAATCAAACTTGTTTATGTGACCAGTACTGCCTGGATATGAAGTTCTCACCAGTTGCTGCTTTGTATGTACAGTTGAAGATGCCCACCAATGCTCAGCGCCTGCAACAGCTTATGGAGTTCAACATGGTGACAGCTGACTACGATGTGAAAGCGTTTCTGGCGCTTATGTCACACAGCATGCCCGGGGATGTTGTGACAGAATGTGTGACTCTGGTGGACAACATCGAGGAGGAAACGGGCGAGATTCTGAGGTTTGGAGACAACCCCAATTTCAAGAAGTTTATCTCTCAGATGCAGGCAAGTGCATTGGATTTGTCTATTGGGGCCCAGCACCAAACCTCTGCTGGTGCCAATGCCAAGTTCAAAAAGTCAATCTGTGCAGCTGGTATAACAGTATATGCTGTCCATTCACTAGCTGTGTGTATGTTATGCTTTGGTTCCTTTCTTTTGTCTTTGGATTTGTTGGCTCAACCTAGCACTGATTTGGTGCACTGCTGCAGGGTGTCTTGGAGGCCTACGGGGTAGTGGGTGCTAATGTGGAGCAGCTGGAGCTTGAAGCGGTGCGAGTCACAGATGCCAGCAGCATTGAACTTATTGCCACTGGAGAAGTGCCAGCTGTCACTGTGCAATGACTGTGTCCTCTCAATCAGTGCCCCAGAGCGCTAAGATTTGTTCTCCACGTGGACGTGGTTCAGGCTCACTTTTAGAATCACGTCCAACTCAGTTTTCACTGGTGCAGGTATGGAAATGTCGATGTCCAGCATAATGCCGCACAACTCAACCATTGAGCACATGTTCTTGCAGGAGAAGGAGCTCTTGGATGGACTTAGGGCTGAAGCCCAGGAAGAAATGGAGACTGTGAAAGAGAACCATGATCTCAAGTTTCTGAATGTCGATGCTGGAAACTTGAAGCCAACAATAGGGGGGTAGCAGGAAACTGACCAGCAGCTGCTGGCAAACCACATGGGTGCTTATCATCCAGCTCAAAACCAGCAGCAAAAGCAGACAACTCTTGCATGGGTTGGTTTGTCAAGGGTCAGCCTCCTTCAAGACTGTGACTTGCATGGCATCTGTTTTGAGGCAGTGCAGCATGGATGCTCAATGGCATTGGCGCCATTCTACAGAGTTGCCAAGATGGCCGTGTATTTTCCCTGCGCCGGTGAGAGTTTTCTTGGCTTGCTTTTAAGCTGTGCTGTCAACAGATTTGCCAACAGTAGCGTGACTGTCCGCCTAGCCTTGAGATTTCTGTATCCAGGTTGCCAGACGCACCCCATTTGTGCATTTTGTAGTGCTCCTCCTGTCACTATTCTGCTAACCTTCCTAGTGGTGACTGGATAGCAGTGGCCAGGTGCATTCAATGCGCAAGCACATATCTTGAACCACTGCAAGAGTGAGTGCCAATCTCTTCCCCATTAGTGCTCTGAAACACAATTGGCAGGACAAGGAGAAAAAGGTGTCCAACAAAATCCAGTTGTCCCCAGCAGTGCTGGGATTCCAAAGTCAACAAAGCTTGTGCTGATTGCTGCTGAAGTTCATTCCCTGCCGCCATGGCCATGTGGCTGGGAATGAAGTGTCTAGGACTCTAAAGCCAAAATCAGATTCAGGCTGCACTGTTTCTGGTGCATAGACTGCATCGGAGGACTGAAATGGACAGCCTCCGCAGACTCATGCCAGCATTCTCAGGTCTTGCAGCTGCTTGCCCTTGAGCTTGATATTCTTGAGAATAAGCCAAGGTCTCAATTTGGGTCGGAAGTGAACAAGCTGAGTGGCACACTGGCAAATCAGCAGCGACAGCAGAGGCACCCTGGGTGGAACCTCTGGCCAACAGCGGAGCCTTCTTGCCATCTGTCTGCTTGATGAGTTTGGCGCAGTTGGATGCAACAAGTCATGTTGTTGACCTTTTGCATGCATCCTCTCAACCCCCTGCCCCCCTCCTTGCCAGCTTGCAGTAAGGACACACAACTTGCAGTGAACTTCGGGCTCCTTGTTGAAACAGGACTGTAGCAGCCAGCAAGGGGTCCCTGCCACCCGTGCTGTCTCTGGGCTGTCAGGGACTCCAGAAATGTACTCTTTCCCTTTGCTAATGTGCAGACACAACCCCAGCCCCGGCACACAACCTCACTACCGTGCTCTTGTCTCGAGGCAACACTGCCGACGTTTTCACAGTGGCGTAGCATGCATCTGCCTCGCCGGCAACTTTGGACAGGTGGATTCTTAGGTGGGGCTGATTGAGCCAACTGTCCCCCAGAGCAGGCCGCGGCCGGCTGGGCCCACCCACCTCGTGGTTGGTGCTAACCACCGCCATGCCAAAACTCTCAGCCACCACCTTGAGCATGCGCCCAAGAGAGACCATGAGCGTGTGGCCGTGGCTGTGCCTCTGGCCGCCCCCCAGGACAGGCGTCACAACAGAAGACACAGAGTCCAGCACCAACACCTCAGGCAGCTGGGCCCCGTCAAGAACTTTGCTCATCTGCAGCGCCAGCTCGTCCAACACGTGCAGCACCGAGAAGATGTCGTGCGAGTGGTACACTGTAATGTTGCCCAGCACAGCCTTCAAGGGAGTCCCACAAGGGCCCCTGGATTCGTTGATGCTCGCGACGCGGCTGCCGGAGAAGCTGTTGGACGTGTCGATGTAGACGACCCTTGATCCGCGCCTCGCACTCGACAGGGCGACCGACAAGCACAGCTGCGTTTTGCCGGACGCCGAGGGGCCGACGAGCTCGGTGTGGTGGCCTCCTCGAACACCCCCCCGCAGCAAGTTGTCAAGACTTTCGCCTGCCATGCGCGGAACGGTGGCGTCAACGCACGTCTGCATTTGCCGCCACTAAGCCTCGATCGCTGCACCGGTAAAAACAAAATCGCGGACGCCGTTCTGATGCCTCCTGCGCCGCTATCCAGTCTAACTGCACCTCCAAAGAGTGGCTCAACGTTTCTTGCCAGACATCAAGCATTGCGTGAGCGCTGGAGAGACGTGAAGGGGCTGCAGCGGCACGACATATTGGGGCGACGGAAGGACGGGCAACTCACAGCCGGTCGACAAAAGCTTGCTGGTGGTTTGTAGACTCTTGAGAAGCGCTGTCCCAGAGATCACCGGCGGTGCAACGTGGTCCTCCAAGTACTGGATTCCAATTTCGTAGAGATCTGTGGACTGCCCCTGGATGGTCCTGCTTTTGTTGCCGCTGCCGCGCTTCCAGTCCTCCTCAGTCGTCGTGAGAAAGTGTTCGATCGTTGGAAAAGCGCCGCAGAACGCCTCAGCGGCTGAGTCTCCCGCCTGTAGTCGAATGCGCTTCGTTGGGGGCATCGCTCAGGAGCAGGTAAACTCAGAAACAGGTGGCACTGCCGCCCCCCAAACCAACAGCAGCAGCTGAGCGTGCTTCTCTTGAGCACTTTTCCTCGCGCCGATCAACAGCCCTCCCCCCCACATTCCCCGCACTGTCCATAGCTGCGGGGGGATCCATTGCAAACCAAGATTAAACCAGCAAACCCCAGGGAAATTCCAGTAAATATTTCCCCTAAACATTTTGACCGGGCTGCATTGCTGGCAGCCCTAACCAGTTGCATTGAGCCTTTCGTGACGTGCTCGCAATGCCCTTAAATTATCAGCTCGTGCGCTAACGCCTGACTCCATTTACAGATCAATTATATTCTGCCGGTCCGACTATTACCTGTACCCCATCCCTGTCGGTATCCATAGCTCAACTCACCACTGGCTGCACCGTCATTCCCATGTTTCTCCACGTACGGGGTTTGGCTGTGCGCTACAATCCCTCACCAACATTGCAGCACGTTCTGATTCGCGAGCTGGCCGAGCCACATCTCTGCTGACGGACAGATGTGACAGCAAAGCCACCATTTGATGTTGCGCACACGGCTCGGAGCGATCGAGACGGAGGCAGGCACAGCCACGGGCTTGGGGACACAGCTGAGGGTACAGAGTTACAGATAGGTCACGGACAGGCATGTCCCTTTATAGTCATACAGCCATCTCTCAACGACGGACGAGTCATTGTCATATCATTCGCCCCCAACACACATAGAACGTCGCCCTCGACGTGTAATCACCTCAACCAAACAAACCAAGGGAACCAGGAAACTGGTAGAAACCATCATCAAGAAGTCATTCAAAACTTCAGACACTTGGCCAGCCGTCATGTGCGGGGGCCTTGAACACGAACACAAACCCATCACAAAGGAACATATCGAGAATCAGAGCATCAGCTCAAGAATCCATCAAACACTCGGCCAGCCGTCATGCGGGGCCTTGAACACGAACATGCAAACCAGTCTCAAAGGAACACATCAAGAGCCAGAGCATTGGCTCAAGAATTCATAGAAAGAAACCAGATTCGGAAAGGAAACCATCAATCTCAAGAGCAACACGTCTTGGCGAACCTCGCCACCTCCATGGGGCATCTCAACAACTCGACCTAAGCTGACCCATCGGCGCTCGGTGCGCGCCCCCAACAAAAGAGATAATGCCATGCCCAGTGCATTGGAATTGCCACGTGGGCCTCGCTCATGCTGTGCCACGTATTCGCTTGACATGGTAGTAACGCTCAACCCGTATCAGTGTGACGGGTCTCCATGTAGGACCACACTGTCAGCTGGCACGAGCTGACACGAGCCACCGTCCTGCTGACTCTTCATCACGCAACCCTTGCTGCGGGGTCGTGCGTGCTGTGTGCCAAGCACGTGATCTCTCAGACACAGCCATCCACTCAAGTTACCACTTCCGACCAATGGCGTGGCTCACACTCGCCCATCACCGCTCAGCGGTGCCGTGTTGGCCTCCATCGCAACTCTGCCATTGTAACTCCAGCGAACGCACAGCCGCGGCGTTGACGGAACTGACCCGCGCGTCGTCCACCGCCCTCAGTCACGCCTTCGTTGCGCTCGCTTCAGCTCTCGCGCGACCGCTCCATGTCCATCGCTGGACGCTATTCATCACGTCGCCACTCCCACGCACCACAGCATGAGGCGGCACAACGCTCGCGCGCGCCTCGGCGTTACATCATGCCACGCAGCTGCATAGTCCTGCAATCCCACCCCTGCCTCGGGTGCCACATGTTACGCATGGCTCGGAGTGGGACTATATCGGAGGCAGGCACAGCCACGGGCTTGGGGACACAGCTGAGGGTACAGAGTTACAGATAGGTCACGGACAGGCATGTCCCTTTATAGTCATACAGCCATCTCTCAACGACGGACGAGTCATTGTCATATCAATGTGACGCGGGATGCGCCAATCAGGAAACAAAAGGACGGGCCCCAAGTACCTGAACGGAAAGGCGAGTCGGTGGGTGTCACTAAAGACGGAGGGCCCGCACGAGCCAGAGTTTGAAGACAAGGTGCGTGGTCGGCGACGACGTGCCTTCCGCCAACACAGCCAGTGGTGCGCGGAGTGCACCCCTATGACCAGGAGTCCCCCAGGTTCGCTGTCGGGACAGGACGCGGGAGAGTCAGTGCACGGCAGAGTGTGATGTAGGGTTTGTTGGATTGCCGGTGCGTTTGCCGCGGCTCCGGAGATCTGCAAAGCATTCCCTCCCCGCAAAGTGTGAGGCCACAATCTCACCTGAGTACCTTCCGCGTCTTGTCTGGACGGCCCAGTACCTGGCCCTCGAAGAAGGCAGACAAGTTCTTGCATTTACATGGCAGCACAGCGCATGTTGGCGTCAAGGGGAACGTTGATCATGGGTTGTTGTCCTTAAAATCGCCTTCGACGAGACCAAGCACTGCCCTTGAACCTTGTTCGGCTCTTGCCAATGCGAACATCTTCACCCTGTGGCATTTTGTTTTGCCCATCATCTGGCAGGCAATGTGGCTTATCTTGTGCCCATACAGGCATGAGTGGTGTGTGGTGCTGCCATAATAGACTGGCTAATTCCATGGTCTAAATTTGCCTTTGAAAGACAAAGTGGGGCCCTTGTATCTGGCTAGCGATCATGGGTGTGTATGCTGCAGAAAATTTGGAAGAACATGGTCACCAGTTTGTGCATGAGCTTGCATCGTGTTTGAATTGGATCCTGCGCTGCTCATTGTTGGGAGGTGTTTCATCTGGACTCGAAAGTCCTGCATCACCTTCTCTGGTGCAGGGAGAGTAACTAACTCTTGCACAGGAGGAGTATGTCCATTGCATGGCATGCTTTCTTTCCTTTTACAGAAAGTGTATCTTCCTACTGTGCCACCATGTGTTCTGCAGCCATTGATCTGCCAGAAGATCCCAAAGCCACCCAAAGTCCTGCTCCCCATGGGCAGAGGCAATGCCCTCACAGATAACAACGGTGAGTGTACATCTATTAGGAATGTGTAGTCATTGTGTATTGTGTTCTTCCTCTCTTCAGTACATTGGTGGACTTTGCCAGGATAATCCTGGACACCTGCAAGGTTAAGAAGCACTAAGCGGCGTTCCCCTCTAGATGTCACCCACGGAGTGTTCAGCATTAAGTTATGCTCTGATTCAGATTGATTGTCGCAGTGTTCGCTTTTTGTCTCCAGGGAATCTAGAATCTCAAACATCGTTCAGCAGGATGGATTCGTGCTTCTTGCAGAGGACTATACATTCCCCACTGACAAGTTGAAATCGGGGGAAGGAGTTGGCAATTGTAAGAACTCCAAATGGGTCGTGCTTGTCGCATGTGGGAGCTTCAATCCTCCCACAAATTTTCATCTGCGGATGTTCGAAGTGGCCAAGCAAGCACTTGCTGAGGTGAGGCAATCTTGCAAGATGGATGTGAAATGTTCACAATTCTGCTGGCATAGATCCCCATCGGTTCCAGTTGTCAAAACTTGATGAATGTTGGGCCTGCTGTAGACACTTTGCCCTCTGCAAAAGCAGCGTGTTGACGGAGTCGTGACCAAGCGATTGAGATAATGGATTCACAGTGCTCATCGCAGCTGCAGATACTGTGATACAGTTGTTCATCCCTTGCTGCCATGTCGATCACATATGGATGTTGGATTCTTCAAAACACTAAATGGAATCAAGATAAGCTTCAGGACTACTTCTGGTAGCATGTTTCTCCAACATCATGGTGCTCTCTCTTCTTTGCTGTTTGTAGCGAAACCCTGGGTCTTGGACAAGTCCTCCCGAGTGGACACTTGCTCAATGAATTTAATGGGCACCAAACCATGCTTTTGATGTTGAGAAACAGATCGCACTACAATGCTGTCCTGAATGGGAATTCTTGGGATCGTTGTACGGCAATTATGAGAATTCGGTAGTTGGCTTTCAGTGGCCCATGTCCTGTGTGCCAAGAGGTTGTCCTGATAGTGAAACAAGGAAGGCGCTGACATGATTGGGGCGAACGCAAACTGGAATGCCCTAGCTAATAGAGAATCCATAGAAGGCAGTAGTAGGCAGCATTCACATCCCCTCATCCTGAGCATTTTTTCTCGTCTGGCGCTTCAGGAGGGTTACAACGTATTGGGTGGGTATCTGTCACCCGTTAATGATGAGTACAAGAAGCCGCAGCTCCTAGCTGCCACACACCGACTTGCGATGTGCCGCCTGGCATGCGAGGTGAATCCGCTTTGCTCCTCATTGCGACTGCAACGCATTGCCATGCACTGTGTGTACAGTTTCGACCATTTCTATCAACACAACTGAGCTGCAGCAGATTGTATGTCAAGCATTGAAAAACACGTTGACTATCGTGCAGCAGCTGTCATAGCCGGTCTTCAAAAGCAAATGGTACTGACAAGTTCCGAAATACCCACAAGCCTGATTTGAATTTGTTGCATTCTTCAGAGTGCAGCAATTGCTGACCTTTCGCCTGCACTAGCATCCCCGGCTTTGGCTCCAAGATATAGCTAGATATCTCGTTTCCGGCCAACATTTTCTTACCAGACCCATGGCGCACTGGTTTTGGCCAAAGCTGCGACCCTACGAAATAGACACTAACATCTGCACTTATTTTGATCAGGGGTGAGGCATGCATGCTGCATGAAAGACCAGCAAGGACGGTAAAGCTATCGCTCAGCTCTTTTTGCTCCACCCAGGAACTACAAAAGCTGCCCTGTTTGCACCTCGGTGAATTTGCAGCTTGGGATGAGTCTGGCAGTGCATGGGACAGCATAAGCAATACAAAATTGAGACACTGTTCTCTGCATCAAAACTTCGGAGCTCTTCTAAGTAAATATCAACCGGGGCTGTGCTCAGGTCCATTGAGCAAATTGCAGTGAATGGATGATAAAATTTAGCGATGATGGGAATTTAGTTACGACAATTCTACAAGAGTCCTAAGCATCAATCTGTTGGCTCTGGTATTCAGATCTTGCATATTTTCATAACGTTTCCTATTTTGGTGCATGGGGCTCATGCACTGCTGGATATGCCCCTTCCCAGATACGCATGTGTCTAGTTTTAATCGGTTGCAAACCTATGCGTTTCATTCTGATTTCCAACTCCCGAACTTGAGCACTGAAGCCAATCCCTTGGTGTCCAGCCTGTGTACACCATTGCACGAAAGCGATGAAATTCAAAAGTGCTTTGTCGGAGTCAGGAAAGTCCAGTGGATCTTCCATCTCCAGGCACCCAAGGGATGGCCGTTCATTTCACAGTTGGCAGGCAAGAAACTGGTTGTATTTCCAGGCCACTGGTTTTCAACCAATCTATAAATTGAAGTGCTGCATAGATTGAATAGCAAACGGGTCAAACAGTCATATGCTATTGTTTCTACAACACACAGAAAGGTAATTCAATCGTCCCATGTCCATAAACAGAGCAGGTGGGCTGCCCATGTCCCTTGTTCCAGGCCACACGTCTGGCTTGGCACATTGTGGTGTTGAACAAGGGACACCGCTGTAAAGGGCAGTGTTTGGGAACCTCCCAGGTGATTATGTCTGCAAAGCGCAGGGCCCTGCTGTTGCTGTAGAATGTGTGAGAGACACAGCAGCGATGCACAGTCTTTCAGAGAATGGATGGTAACAAAGTGACAGTCTGGTGCGAGGGTATCGCACACTGCACGCTGCATACAGATATGCATTGTGTTTTGCAGCAACATAATTGGCGGCCTGACCCTGCGCCTGGGAGTGTGCTGCAATGACAAGAGGGAAGCTGACTATGGGGTGGTCACAGCAACAGAGTGCACTGTCTTCCACAGCGCTGCTCTATCCCAAAATGTTGGTGTGCCTCAAGTGCTGCTGTTGCCCCAGGGATCGGACCTCGTGATGGTGGACGACTGGGAGGCAAGGCAGCCTAAGTACCAAAGGAGCAAGGAAGTCCTGGCTCACTTCACGGAAGAGCTCGGGCGTCAACCGCTATGTGCTGTGGATGCTAGTGGTCAACCGGTGCCCGTGCAGGTGGGTTCCGATTGCTGGTTTGGAAAATTGTGTATACCACATTTCGATTCCGATCCTTGCACAAATGCGCTGATTTGTCATTTATTTATGTTGTGTCTTCTAGTCTCAAATGATGGACATGTGTACCAAAGCAACAATTTAAACTCTGCATCCAAACTAAACACTTGAATAAAATGTAGTGTGCTTGGCGTGCGTGTAATCAGCGCAAATCGTAAACTTCCATGCATTTATGGTTGTGATATGGCCACACTGGATAGCAGGACAAGAACCAGGCTTGGGTGATTGATAGTTGGAATATCTGATACTTGAAACCATTGATAAGCTTTCAATGCGGCTTCGAGGAAGCTTCTTGGAACAGCGCACAGTGGACTCATGGGTTCTGAGTCCTGTTACCCACACGTCTTCACACCGGAGTGCATTTGATAGCCAGACATTGAAAAGGTAGCAAACAGTGGGGAAAAGTAGTAAACAGATGCAGCTGACATCGACCGTGCCTGTAAAGTCCAAAAAGCAACAACCAAGCAAAGGAAATGAGCAAGCACCTCTGTAAATTGGATACACAATTTATCGTATCCTGTGCACAATTCTGGCAATGCTCCTCCCACAATGGCTCATATGCGCGAGGTGAGCGCATTGTCCTGTTTGACGGATGCATTCGCATGGACCCATCAGGTGATGTTGCTCTGCGGGACGGACCTCTTGGAGTCGTTCGTCAGGCCTGGGGTTTGGCGCCCCGGAGACGTGGAACACATCTTGGTTACCCACGGCGTGGCGTGCGTCCTCCGGCGGGGTTGCGATTTGGGGACACTGTTGGTGGAGGAGGGGGCACCCTTGCGGCGTTTCCGCGATCGTGTCATACTTGTCAAGGAGCCCTTCGACAACAGCGTGAGCTCCAGCACTGTGCGGCAGGAGCTGAGGCGGGGGCACTCTGTGAAGTACATTGTTTCCGACGCGGTGATAGAGTATATAAAGGCAAAGGGGCTGTATGCGGAAGACGAGCAAGATACTAAGGTCGAGGGTTAGATGGCATGTTAATCTTCGGAGTGCATTTGTCGATTGGGGATGAGGTTGAAGGTGTTGCGTAGGCTGATGGAACTGTCCTGTTCTTTTCTGGTGTGTCTGGAAGCCACATAGACAGCTGGGTTTGGTAGATCAGACTTGCGGATACAGTCGTCCGATACAGTCGTCCGACTCCTAGCATCTGAGATATGTTCGTTTTGTCAACCAGCAAGGGCTGTGGATGGCACTCTTCGGCGCCACCAGAAGCAACGACCTACTCAAAACTGTATTGCCTGCTAGTCATGTCTGGTAAGAATGCTTTGATGGGGCACAAAATGTGTAGAGCTGCGCCTGTCTATGTCGCAATATGAGGAAATTTTCGAGCCAGACGGTTGTGGCCAAGCGTGACCACCCTTTGAGCTGACTAAGAGAAGCAAATAAGAATTCTTTCTCCCCCCTGTAGGTGCGGAATGGCGGTCGCCCATCTTGCATCGGTAGAGTGCCATTGGAAGGTACATAAGCCGCAAAACTAGGCATGTGGCTGTTGTTTTCAGGACAACACAGTGGCGTCCTGTTGGTAACATGCAACGTACCGAGCCTCTTGTGAGGGTCCGTCATTCTCCAGCAGTCCCAGCGCTGCACTCCTACCGCTGGGTGTCATGACGCGCATCAGTGCACAGAGGCAGTGCTCCACATCGTTGATGAGCAGGCGGCAAGGCATGTGAAAGAATAGCTATGCGTTGCACATAATGTAGTTCCTGCATGTGCCAGAAGTGGCACAGCCCAGTACTGTTGGCATGGATCGCCCTGCAGCACCGTCTCCTCGCCTGTCGTCGTTGCGGCTGAGTCGTTTTGACTGGTTTTACGCCGTTTCATGTTGTCGGTCTGCAATGGGATCAGCAAACGGGGAGCCAACTTGGTGCAAGACTCCTCCTTGAAATGCATTGCGATGCACTGGAGGCCTGGAAGACATCATGAGCTGAATGCGAGTTTGTTGTTGAAAAGGCCGCAGTGGGCACTGTGGCTGCCACCTTCCTGAGTCTCGAATGGTCTCTTGCCGACAATGTCGAGGTGATTTGTGCGCCAAAATCGGGGAAACTTTCAGCAAATTTGCAGCAGCTGCAAGTGCATTCATCTTGCCACATCTGTGCACATGCTTGCAATTGGGTGGCTGCGAGACTGCAGTTAACGGACACAAGTGTCGCGTGCCGTAGTGTGAAGGCGGCTGTAGGCTTGTGGAATGCTGTCAGCGCTGGGCGGCGCCCTTTTCTGCGTGATGGGTCTCCGAATTTGTGAGGAAGGAAGGAGACTCCGGAAGCTCTCACCATCGCCTCACGCCTCTCAATAGTGTTGGCTACAAATGGATGCGCGCGTCGCGCCGCACGAGGAATCGCCAGTTTGGGCGCAGGGGCCCCGAACGGGCTGCCGGAGGTGGACGCACCTTTGGCGCCTGCGAGGCTCGCGCGCGCGGGCCTTCCTGGGTCTGGATTCACCTGTGGCCGTCGGAGCGAAGCGATGGTGGACGATGACGACAAGGTGGCGACGGGGAATGGGGATGGGCGCACGGACGGGGCCCAGGCGGTCAGGACGCGGCGATCTCCGCTTCTCCACGTGTGTCCATTCATACTGGGTACGGGATGGGCTTGCATCCACGTTGTCTCCACGCGCAGGGAGATTCTCGTGCTGATTTCGCGCATGCCTCGTGTTCCTTGCAGGATGCGAGTTCGGCGAGCGGCTGGCTTTCTATGGGTGAGCGCAAGGCTACTGTGTTGGGCTCCGGGGGCCGCTGTTTCGGATCTGGTTCCGCGGTGCTGGCTTTGCGGATGTCCGTGGGCGTCCCAATGACCTGTGTTCCACATCCCAGCACTGGGTCGACGGCGGGAGGCTTGCGCCCGTCGTGGAAGGCCTCTCACGATGTGCTCTGAGAACTGGCTGATGGCTGGAATGTCAGGTGGCATGATGAGCACACATCGTGGCCGCCTATAATTGCTCGCGTTGTTCTGCCATCAGACGTCGGTCGTCAGTCGTCAAGAAGCTGCGGCGCCGTGTAGAGTACATCCTAGCCACAGGAACCTAATAATCCACCTCTGTTCTGCGTCAGGATCCTGACCAACTTGGTTGTCTATTTGCTGATGGTCGGTTTCACGAATCTTGAGGCTGCAACACTGGTAAGCATCGATGACCAGCTTGGTGATTATTGTTGTATCTGCCTCCATCCATTGTCTGACAGTTCATGGCCCACGACACAAAGAGCTGGAAGGGCACCGCAGCTGGCGTCATTTGTCTAGTGAGGAGTGCACTGAAATACCAGAAATTGCTGCGCCAGGTTCCGCTCTTCGTAGGCAGCTGCTATGTGACGCCACTCCTCGGTGGCTATCTTGCAGATACATGGTTGGGTCGATACAAAACTATTTTGTATTGCGCGTTGATCTACGTGATGGTGAGTTTGCAGCATCCATGAGCCATCTTCTGATGAGGCTGCTGATGAATGAAGATTGCCTGCTCTGATTTCAAACCTGAGTGAGATACATCTGTTCTGGGCATGTTTACTTTTCCACGTTACAATGCAAGGGGTCTGGTGCAGCAGGAAATGTCCACATGACATTCATGAAGTAGTGTTTATGCTGAATTGCTGGCTTTGGGCAGTTGATGTTTGGGTTCTAGACCCAACTGGTAGTTGGGATCTAGATCCCAACTGAGAAAATGAACAATTTCAGCCAAAGGTTATAGCTCTACTTGGATACCGTAAATGTCGATCGAACTTGTTGTTAGGAGAGCTGCCAGTGTTCGCACTGCTTTTTGCCCGTGCAAATTTGCTGCAGGTGTCAATGTCCCAGCATGTTGTTGTCATGCGTGTTTCCACTGATTGCACCAATTTCAATCTTCCAGGGCATCGCTCTGCTCACTCTGAGTGCTGGAGTGAAAGGACTCCATCCTGAGGAGAATGAGAGAATCAACCGGGGTCAGGCAGCTTTCTTATTTTTCTCGCTGGCGCTCATAGCTCTGGGAACAGGTGGCATAAAGCCAAACGTGTCATCCTTTGGTGCTGACCACTTTGATGAAAACAACCCACAGGAAAAGGGACAGAAGGACTCATTCTTCAACTGGTTCTACCTTGCTATCAACATCGGCTCCCTTGTGGCCTCCACTGTCATTGTGTATGTTGAGGTTAACATCAGTTGGGCTCTTGGATTCTTGCTCACTGGTGAGTGGTACCATATGTACATGTCCTTTTGAAAACATGTAGACATATCGTACAGAATAAAAGACCCTTCCAGATTTGCTGTGGTTGGCTGCTTCTCACTTGCGGGCAAGAGATGCTCAGTGCTTAGATGTGACGGATTGCTAGCCTGGAAAGGGAGGAGGAAGCTGCCTGTGACGAAGCAAGCTATACACATCAATCGGTTGGGTTGTTCGCAAGGAGCCATACTAGTTTGGATGTAAAGTACAGATTTGAGGGATGCTGCTTGCAATATGGTTTGGCGTTATGTGCCTTCTGGTTAAATGAGTCTGGATGGCAGAAGTCACCTTCGGTTTGAAATTTGCACTGAGCAGATGTGTTGCTGGCTGCCTTTGCAGGCATTGCGATGGCATTGGCAGTTATTGTGCTTGTGTTGGGCAGCCCCAGTTATCAACATCGTGAGGTTGCTGAGTCGCCACTTGCTCGCATAGCAAACATCGTAGCTGCCGCACTCATCGCGGGGGGACCCAGACAGCTGTATCGCCATAGGAATGCAGCAGGTGGTGCTGCCACAAGTGATAGCAAGCCATTGTTGGCTGACCACACAGAAGACGGTGATGGCAGGCATCAGGACCAAGAAGATGTTCATGGAGCCATCAGGGATCCGCGCCCCCACTGGCTTGATGCTGCAATTGGTACATAAATGCCTCCTTATGCAAGCCAGGCATACAGGATGAGCATGCATAAAGATACATTAGGATGATGAGTCATTGAGTGTGTGGGTATGTGCAATTGTATTCTTGCAGTGAATGTGCATCTATAACCAAAAGACACCTAATACAGACCTAAAGTACGCCTTTCCTGGAACAGAACAACAACAAGGTAATGTCACTCACTACCGGATGCTCAGAGTCTCACGCAGGATGTCCATGGTTCTCAGGCGATCACCCAGCTGATCATAAAATGAAAATTGGTAAAGAAGAAATCAACCTACAATCCAGCTAAAGACAGCCCAATGGCCCAGACAACATATGTTTGGTGCAGTAGCAAATGACAACACTGCAGCATCTTGGGCGTCACTCCATTTTACTCTCCAGTTTGGTTGAGGACAGGCTGTCGATTTATGTGTTAACGTGCAGCATTGTTACGAAAACTGTCTCAGATCTTGTTGCAGAATTCTTTATGCACAGCATGCTGCAGAAATGATGCGATGATGTAAGGTGGGAATTGCTGAAATGCAGTCAAATTCTGAATAACAGTGAGTATTGTGGTCAACAAGGTTGGTTTCTGTGCACATTAAAAACAAGCAAGGGGTAGTAGCAGATTAATAGCTGTGTCTGCTCTTGGACTGTTCATGGTTGACTTATGATCTGATACAATGATCTGATACGATCTGATACAACCTGGTCTGGTGGCTGGCTCAATAAAAAAATGGTTCTTCACAGGAATTTGTTCCTATTCTAGAGAGAGAAGCATGTTCTACAAACAAGGTGCCTGGAGCTGCATCCTGACACAAATGATTTACTTTGTTTGCTGAATGATATAGTCCTCCAGTACATGGCGGAGTGTTTATATTTGGCATATTTTTTTGGCAGGCAACTTCACTAGTGAACAGGTGGATGAGGCAAAACTGGTGCTCGGTGTGATGCCCGTGTTCTTCACAACAGTTTTGTATTGGTGCGTAGATTTAGTTGCTTCGGTTGTTGCAGTTGGTAAAGGGCTGAACTATGAACTTTCGTGCTGCCTGTAATGTCATGGCTGGCAGTTCGTGCTGGGCAGACATCCAATGCCTAACGAAGAAAATGACAAGTGGAGAGTGTGCTTGAGAAGCTTGGAGTGATGTGTGGTCAACTCCTTTTCAGCTTGCATTGACTGCACTCTTTACAAACAGGTAGCTCCAATGGGCCTCCATTCAGTTGCAATCCCCAGGAGCGCAGTAGCCTGTTGGAAGCCAAATTTTCTGAATTATTTCTGGCAGCTACATTTCAGTGCAACACTGCATCCATGGCGAGTATTTGGTCCTAAGGAAATGAGCTGCAGACTTCAACATTTAGTACACCTTTTGCAGCAGACCCATTTCTTGCTCTTCTTGCTCTGGCCGACACTTGACCAGCAATCAATCATCGGTGGGACAAGTGCAGCACCACCCTATTTGCTGAACTAGCATTGCTGAGTTTTCTGGAAATAGTTATTGGGGGTGGTGAGAAGCCCAGTGTTTTGCCCCCCAAAAAGAATGCATCAGTAGCTTGAATTAGCCTGAATTCATCGAAGTACACGACTTCTTGCACCCAACAGACCCTGGGTTTGTGCTGCGAGCAGGACTGTGTACAGCCAGATGTCTACCCTCTTTGTCCAACAGGGTACCCTTATGAATCTCAGCCTTGGCAGGTACACAATACCTGCAGCATCTCTTTCTGTGTTTGATGTGCTAGCCATTGTCGTTCTTGTCCCCATATACGATCGTCTGATTGTTCCACTCCTGAGGCAGTGCAACAGAGAGCCAACACAATTGCAGCGAATTGGGGCCGGTTATGCCGTGGCCATGGTTACAATGGTCATATCTTTTGCAATTGAGAGGGAGCGGCTGAGGAGGTTCAAAGAGGGAGATATTGTAGCAGGGCAGGAGACGCACAGTGAAGCGCAGGCTGTGGATATGAGTGTCTGGTGGCAGGTTTTCCAATACTTGGGAATTGGCACGAGTGAAGTTTTGTCGGCCATAGGCCAACTGAATTTCTTCTACAATCAGGTATGTGTTAATTCACCACAGAACCATGTGAATGTAGTTGTCAGAACGTCTCTTGGAACTGCAGTCCAATGAACTGCACTGTCGTCCTTCCCATTCCTGTATCTTGGGTGCACTTTGGAGGCCTGCATGCTGATGGCTGATGGTGTGGCAGTTCAGCTGGGCCAAATGACTATCGCAAATACGAATGGTTTGAACTTGTGGCTTCATGGGTTGTGCAGAGAAGGCACTTGCTTGTCAGAGTGTGCAAGTTTCTTGCTGCTCACACTCGCCAAACGTTCAACGCTGACCTGCAGCTCCTTCAGCTGTTATTGGTATCGTGCACAGCATTGACAAAGTGATTTTGTATGGCCCTTCCAGGCGCCCACTTCCATGCGCAGCTGCATGATGGCCGTCCAGCTGCTGAGTGGAGCACTGGGAAGCTACTCTGCCAGCCTTTTGGTCTTGGCAATAAATCACCTAACAGAAAGCATCTCAGGAATGCCATGGATACCTGCAGATTTGAACTGTGGCAGGCTGGATCTCATGTACTTGACGCTTGGTGGTAAGCTGTGGATGCAACTGCTGTGCTGCAAAAGTTATGTTGACTCATTGGGCACAGCAACTGCGAAGCCCTTTCAATTACTGGCAAGACAATGGAGTAGCACAGCTTCACCTGCAAATGATCATGCAAGTGCATCGTGTACAACTATGCTTGTGTACAAATATGCGTCATTATTGTATAGTATGTCCTCCAGTTGCCGACGGTGATTGAGTTGCTTGCCACTGTGCGATTTTTGGCAACTTTGGATTCTAGAACAGCGGGCATTTCTCCCTGTGTCATCCACAACGTGTAACGGCATCTTCCGCCTCAGTGTGTTCGTACTCGTTACAATATTTGTCGGCGTTTGGCTGCCTCAGGGAAAGGTTATATCCGAAGAATGACGAAAGAATGTGCCAGTCTCATCACTTGGACCATTGCACATGCTGCGATTTCAGGTATTATGCTTGTGGACACGATTTGGTTCGTGCACGTCGCAATGCGGTACGAATACAAAGAGGTCGTAAGCGACGACGCTCCCAGGCAGATGGGCATCGGGCCAGACCCCAGCGCAGCTGGTACTGGAGAAGACCAGCCCCTGATTGCGCCGGACGTGTCAACGTCAGAAAACGTGACGGGAGCATCAGAGGTATGAAGGCATTGGAGGCAGGGCGTCGAGTGTGGTTGGAGACTTGACCGCTGGTGGTGCTTTTGGAGTCCCTGGGGAATGATGCAGAACATGACCCCGTCGCATGTTTTCTACATCTTGACAACGGTGCACGGGCTCAACCGTTCAATGTGTCCAGCTTTGCGAATGGAGACTAGGACATTCGTGAATTCTTGTTCATGGATGAAAGCAGGACTCTGCTGGGCTCTGCGAAGAAATTTTCACTTTTGGCCGGTGGGCTCGGCCTTCTATAACCCTTGTATGTGCCGTCCAGCGCTCCAGCTCTGCTCGGCGAGTTTGGGATTCAGGGCGCTTATTTAAAAAATTGGAATTTGGAAATTGTTTGTTTCGTGAATGCCTGCTTGCCAACGGCGAGTGTTGGGAGGAAGGATAATGCGACTTAGTGCAAGGCAGTTTTCTTATGTATTCTGGGGGAGCGCTTTTCAACTCTCGGGCACGGGAGGCTTGCAAATTGCGGTGGCGGCTTATTGACGGACTGCACATCACTGCATTGACCCTGTCTGTGTGACTGCGTCGCCTGCAGCCGGCTAGGATTGGAAGCTTGCTGCTTGCCAACAGGCAGCATGGAAAATGCCTGGGCTTGCATGGGCCTTTTGACGCACGAACTGTGCTTTTTATTTGGGTGTGTGCGGTGTGTGCGGTGTTTGCAGTTCAGTCCTTGGATGTGTATAATACAGCGTGCGCCATGATTGCAAGTACTGGGCATCGCCCTTGTACTTTAGGTAACGGCCCAATCGCCCTTGCAACGATTGTTCTTGTGTTTCACTTCAACATGTGGTTCACGAGGTGTTTCCTTGTTGATGTCGTTGGGCGCTAATATGTCGTCGGCAAATCGGAAATTATGGCACTAGCACCACGCTCAATGCCACTACAATGTTGCTCGGGATTTGGTTTGATGATTTCCATTTCCTTGCACTGGAGTTGTTGCAGCCTGTGGCCAACGGAAGTTCCGTCGGAAAACGTTTCATATATTGGATATACATATCTTGGGTAAACATATCTAGGATATGGCCATATCCCAGGATACGGGTGCCCATATCCACGATATGGCCGCCATATCCCAGAAGATGGGCCCCCATGTCGTGGGATATAACCATATGCTCGGCTGTATCTTCGCCAAATCCCAGGATATGGGCTCTCATATCTTTGATAAGGATTGTCCATATCCAGGATATGGCTATATTGCATATCCGGGATATGGCACCAATACCATGCTTCGAAGTACTCGATATCCAGGGTATGCGAGCCTCACCACATCCTATTCCGTATCCAGGAAATGGGACTTCTAACCAACGTCTGAACGTCTGAAGATGACGACTGTAGGCTTCATCAGATAAGGGTGGTGCTCATCCACCAGCACCCCGTTCGGACACTAAAAGAAATCCTGGATTCAATAGTGCATTGGCAGTGCTCCACTGTTGAGCCTCCTGATCTCAGCCATCTTCGTGACCGCCGGTCTTCAATGCATGTGGCGGAATGCTTGTTCCAAAGGGGTTTGCAGCGCAACAATGTGCTCTCCGAAGGGCAGCACGACAGGTCGCAAATTTTTACAAGCTTTACTGATGCTGTCGCTCGCAGCAACAGAGTTCACACAGCAAAGAACAACGTCACACACACGGTTGGGAGGGTGAACACTCTAGTTGCGTGTGATGCATGGACAGCGGCAAACACGAGTGGTCTCATTTGCCTCAACACCGAAGCAACGGGGGCACTCTTCAATGATCAGTGCTGTAGCCTCATTGTATTTCTGCCTTACCGGTCTCCTGAGCCCACCCCGTCATGTACCCCCATGACAATAATTACAAACACCGTTAACTTTCACATTCCCGAGGTTCCCGTCCTTTAAACTTGCCCATTCGCTTCGCTAATACTTCAACGCCACTTCAGTGAGTGACTCCCCATGAGTCAACTCCCTCTCCCGCACTTCACTCCCTCAACTCCCTCTCCATCCCACAACTAACCCGAACTCCACTATCCAGGGCGGGAGGGTTGGGTGCGAAACAAGATAAGGAGGGGGACCGAGGGGCTGCCTAAATAGCCGCCCTCCGCCGCCCCGCCAAAGCCCGCCAAACTCGAGGGCGCCCTCACGGGCGGCACCTCGGAATACTGTACTTTGACTGACCCACGGTACTAGGGGTGGCCAGAAATCCCAAGGGACGGGGTTGAGTAAACCCCAGGTTCAAACTGCACCGTTTGAATCGCCAGTGCAGCCCACCCATCGTCGCCCTTGGCAGAAACCCATTAACAGGATAGTTAACTTCATTTCTGCCTTACCGGTCTCCTGAGCCCACCCCGTCATGTACCCCCATGACAATAATTACAAACACCGTTAACTTTCACATTCCCGAGGCTCCCGTCCTTTAAACTTGCCCAGTCACTCTACGGGAACTCGAGGCCCCTCCGGGACAGAAGATGTGCCCGAACTGCTCATGCAGGTCGCGGGCGGTGATGGTCATCCAGCCAAACAACCGAAAATCCCACTCAGTGGGTAAACGAAAAATATCAATGTACGACCACAGGGCGTCTGACTGCCACCCACCCCAATCCCGAATACGCCGCTCCGCGACCTCCAAGGCGAAGCAACTGGACGCGCCCCCACCGCGCAGGCCATGATGCGTGAACGGCTCTTGGGCGATGTCCGGAAAGAGCGCGAGGAGCGACGAGAACCAAGAGGCGACGGTCTTGGACGTAGGGGTGGCGTCGCCGGGAAGGCGGTAGAAATGGCGTGGCGGTTGATCCGTCTGCGCCCAGGCGTGATCGCGGAACTGCGTCCACCGACGCAGCAAGTCGACGACTTCGGGTGCTCCGCGAGAAGGCCAGGAGCGATAGCGCGACCGGGGCTCCTCCCCTGGGCGCAGCTTGGTCTTGCGCTCGCGGAAGATCACCACCTCCGCGTCGAGGCGCACGTCGTCGACCAGAATGTAATGGCCCGACTGGGCCCGATTGAAAAAGATGTAGTCGAGGTGGGCTGCGCACGCCGCCCGAAGGGTGGGCCCGTCCTCGGTGGTGAGGCCAACCTCCAGGATGCGCAGCATCAAGGAAGTGGGGACCGGCCTCCGATGCTGCACCGGGGCCGGCGCCGCCCGTCGCCAAGCGCGGGTGAGGATGCGGGTGACCGGGTCGAAGGCCGAGAAACCCAAATGGCCCGCGACGTGATGCATCATCGAAATCGCGGCCAGGTACTGGGGCAACGACCGCACGCCCACCTTGCCCTCCTCCCGAAGGAAACGGATGTAGTGGTAGATCGAGGCCCGCCGGGCAGGGAGGGCGGCGAGGCCGTGCTCCTCGCAGAACCGCTGGAAGCGCGAGAACTTGGCCTGGAGCGTCCGTCGAGTGGCCTCCGTGTAGGACTGTAAAAATTGGCGCTCCATCCAGCAGCGATCGTCGCGGAGTAGGCCATCCAAATCCGTGCCGTACAGCGGGTCATCCTCCGCCAGCGGCTCCAAAGGAACGTCGTCCGCCGGCAGGTCGGCCGGCGGGGCTTCCGACGGAATCACAGCTTCCTCCGATTCGGTCTCAGATGGCGCGGCGTCCTCTTGCGCGGGCACACATGGAACGCCCGGAGATTCCACCGCGGGGGGGGAAGGGACGCCGGAAGGCTCGGGTCGCCGGGGAGAAACAGGTCGGCCTGGCGGGGAATGAACATCTCCGCCCGGGTGATCGCTCGGAGCGGGCGAAACCACACCGCGCTCGGCCAGTCCGGCGCCAGCACCACCGCCTCCAGCTCCGGCCGTAAGGCGAGGAAGGACACGAGCCTCGCGAGGAGGCTCCACGGGGGATTGCACCAGGACCTGGTGCCGCTCCAGTCCTGCTGGAAAGCATCCACTCCTGCCGTACCGACGTCCCAGTACTGACTGTTGAACTGGGCGCAGAGGGCATTCCGGGCGGACGCGAATCGGTCCACAGAACAGGCCCCGAAGCTGCGGGCGACCTCCTGGAATATGCGCGGATTCAGGCGGTAGTCCTCCGAGGTCCGTATACGGGAAAGCCGGTCCGGCAGTACATTCTCTGCCGAGGGAATGTACTCCGGCTCCAGGAGAATCCGGCGCGTAGTACACACCGCCTTCAACTGACGTAAGGGCCTCAAGAGACTGGTGGCCCTGGTAGTCATGGAAAGGAGACAGTGCAGAACCACCTGGTTGTCCACCAACAAACGAACCCGCCGGGAAGTCGTCCCGGAATACCGGTGAGGAAAGAAACTGAGCAGGGCCAAGTGTACGGCCTGCATTTCACGAACATTAATATGAATAAGCTCCTGATCAAAAAATCCCCTTGCAAGCATGGGCTCCGCCTGGCCCAAAGACTGAAACGTCGCCCCCCAACCCGTAAGACTTGCATCCGTGGCAAGTGTGCCCAGAAAGGGCAGCGAACCCGGGTGAAGAGCCCGGCCGGCAAGGCGCGAAATGTTTGTCCATGCCAAAAGGTCCAGGCGGGCTTGGGGGGTCAAACGAAGGCGATCCCGCCACGATCGTTTCCCTCGTAATAACTCATACAGACTCATCAAGAAAAAGCGGGCCAGCGGAAAGGCCAAATACAACGAAATGGCAGACCCACAGAATTGAGCCAAATGTCGCGCCACTACCCCGCCCGAGTGAAGGAGGGCGCGAGCCCGGGAAGCAATCGCAGCGGCCTTGGTCGGAGGCACCAGAAATTGGCACCGGGTAGTGTCAATGATCACACCCAAATGGGTCTTCCGTTGCACCGGATCCCACTGACATTTGGAATGCTTGAACTCAATGCCAAGAGCCTGAAAAACTCGCCGCACTAAATGGGACCATTCCCGCAAAGGAACCGGATCAGACATGGCCGCAATAAAATCATCCAAATATGCCAAAATCAACGCGGGCACCTCCCGCGAGTACTTTAGGTAGTACTGGAGAATGGAGTCATTACCCGCTAAGCAGCCAAATCGAAAACGAGTTCCAGCCCGTGCACATGCCGCAGGGGTCCTTAAGAAACGGACCACAACGAGCATGACATGAGTGAAATAAAAGGGGGCCAAGGAGAGGCCAAACGGCAGCGCCCGACAGGCGAAAACTTCACCACCCATCCGAAAGAGCAAGAAATGCTCCTAATCGGCGCGCATCCGAACATGATGGTAGGCATTCTTGACGTCAAAGCCCACCAGAAAGTCATTCTTTTTCAAAAGAAAACCGAAATCCTTCAAGCGCTCATAACGGAGACCGACTTCTTGAGGTGGCGATTGATCCGCCGAAGGTCGATGACCAAACGGTATTTGGTCTGCCCGTTCTCCGCCGGCTTGGCCACCAAAAAGGCGCGTGAAATCCGGGCGTTGGAAGAAGGCTCCGTCCGGATGATCGCCCCCGTCCGAAGGTACTCGTCGCGCAGCTCCCGCCAAGCTTGCCATTCCGTCGGGGTCCTGAGCGGGTACTCGCCTTGATCGAAAGGGGGCGGAGGGCCCCCCGGGCCCCATTGGAGCGGCGCCCCCGTATGGATCCATTGAAGCACCCGGGAGGGGGCGCCGATGCGTCGCCAGGCTGCAAGACGGCCCTGGAGGCGGGCGTAGGGCGGGGCCTCTAGGCGGTCGGCTTGGGAGGCGCCGATGAGGCGCCGGACGTCTTGGGCTGGGGGCGCTGATGCTTGGCGCCGGAGGAAGGACCGCCGGGGGGCGAGGCCGCGGAAGGTTGGCGATTGAGCTGCGCTTGATGTTGAGCCGCCGCGGACTTCGTCGCCAACTTGAGCTGTTGATTGAGGACCTCCTTGCGGATGTGCTCGAGGGGCTCGTCGATCAAGGGGTCCCAGAACCGGCGAAGCACCGCGCCCAAGCGCACGTTGGTCTGGAGCGCTTTCCACAGCCCGTCGAGAGAGGTTCCCTTCTGCTCGCCGTGGACCTGTTGAAGACGGATCAGGCTCTGAAGGCGCGACGTGATGGTCACTTGGGCGTGGACGTACGGCAGGAGTGCCTCCCGGAATTGCAGCGGGAAGGCTGGGTGCGCCACGAAGTCGATCAGCGCGGCAGTGAGGTCGAACTGCCACGCGACGTAGGGGGCCCAGTTCTGGTACTCCTGGAAGTAACCGGAGTTGGCGCCCAGGGCCTGCGCGAGCTGCCCGCCTTCGGAGGTGCGGCGGACGTCGAACCACTCGGGGAAGCGGACTCCCGGAGGTCGGACCACCGGGTTGGTCACCGCTTGCGGTAGGAGCCGGGGGTCGGACAGCCAGACTTCGTCAAGGGAAGCCGTAGGCGGACCGTCGTTGAACCGAACCGCTTGGTCGTGCAGCCACTGCTCGGCCGGAGAACGGTTCATAGAAAGGACTCGGCCGTAGCCGGAGGGACAAGGCACTCGGTGCCTGCGGGTTGTGCCAACGCAGTGGCGTGAAGCGAAACAAGATAAGGAGGGGGACCGAGGGGCTGCCTAAATAGCCGCCCTCCGCCGCCCCGCCAAAGCCCGCCAAACTCGAGGGCGCCCTCGCGGGCGGCGCCTCGGAATACCGTACTTTGACTGACCCACGGTACTAGGGGTGGCCAGAAATCCCAAGGGCCGGGGTTGAGTAAACCCCAGGTTCAAACTGCACCGTTTGAATCGCCGGTGCAGCCCACCCATCGTCGCCCTTGGCAGAAACCCATTAACAGGATAGTTAACTTCATTTCTGCACAAAAACCTCTTGTGTCTGCAGGGGGATGCGGTAGGGCACGATGTGGGGTCCACACTCGGGGGTTTTCAATGCCCAATCAATTTTACTGGCCCTCACCCCTTCCAACGAATGCTTTTGCAATCCTTTGCAAAATTTCAACATTGCATTCCCTACCAGGGGAGGGTTTACCTGGGCTCGCTTGTTTCACTGGTTATTGTTGGCTATAGAAGGGAAAGGTAGGTTCCTTGCACCTGGCATTTACTCCGTGTCCTCGCGCCAATAACGTCCATTTTGATGCCTGCCTGTCCATCTGGCCATCCTTTGGATGCACGCAGAATAACGCCGTTGAGGCAGCTCCAAGCTGCCTTGAAAACCAGGCGCAGAGAGGGTGATCTTGCTGTCCGGCGCCTACCCTTGCGTTGCGAATAGCCACGACTACACGCACGGCAGCAATGCCATTCCCAAGCTCGCCAATCAATCTGCGCGGCTCGACTGTGGGGCGGCGCCAGGAAAGTCCCCCGGTGCTCGCTTGGCCACTTGTTGATCGCTTGCGGGTTGTGGCGCAGGTCCCGCCGTGGCCGCCCATTGCAGGGGGCAGTGCCCGGCGGCGTCCGGCATTCTGCCATCGTGGCTGGCGCCGCATGCCCGCGGTGCGCTTATGAGGTGCACCAGGGCTTCGTCGGCCTCGGAAAGAGGATCGCCGCCCTTTCGTGGCAGGGCGGCTCGTGTCCTTGTGCCCTCTAGCGCGCGCCAACGACTTCGGCGAGGCAGCGCCCCGTGCCTCCTATCTACGGCAGCGCCAACCGTATCGTGGGGCAGAATGATTTCGCAATGCGCCCTGAGGGAACACATTTAGGGAGTGGCCTTGGGAATAGGAGGGTGCTTGGGAAAATTGGAATTGGAGCTTTGGACTCGAATTGCGACCACGCCCGAGCGGCTGAGCTGAGCTCTGCTTTTCTCGACTTTTCGACTCGTTTCCAGCAGGCCGCCAGGGGCTTTGGGCAGTTTTTGGGCTTGCGCCCCATTGTGCATCTCAAACCACAGGTTCAAGTGAATTGAACACAAGCGATTGAGGGAATTGAGCAAAACGTGGCCTGCTTGCCCAGCACCTGAGCGCAGGATGCCCAATTTTTGCATACGCATGCGAAAGTGGACATCGCTTTCTAAACTCTCATGGAACCTTCACATGGCGCCCACATTGCTTTCCAGTAAGAAAATGAACTGACCAAGTGTGTGGCTACCCAATGGTGCCGTAAACATAAATGACAACGCCGGGGGGTGTGGAACACCTCCAGGGTTGTTATTTATGCTTACGGCACCATTTCTGAGCTCGTGTTTTACAAGTCAATATGCAGAAACACAGAAACGAATATTCTAATCGCCATGCTTACGTAATTCATAAATGTAGCACTGAAATACTATTCTTAGGTGCGTTGAGACACCCAGGTTACGTATGAAGTCGCAAAACAATGATCGATTCTCCTCCCCCTCGAGCACCCACATGACAGCGTCCGCATAGCACCGGGCTGGGCCAATGAACTGGCCGAGCAGAAAGACTTTTTTTTGTTCACTCCAGCGCATCTGGCTGCCACTTCCCGGTCTCCCTGAGTCTCTGTGTACTGTTTTTCTCTGCACAGGGCCTGCATTCACGTATTTTCAGGCATTTTAAGTGTAAAACTTGAATACTACTTTTGGACGTGAATATGTATATACACCCGCGTGTACGCCACAAATGACAGATCTGCGTGCTGCTAAAGTACTGATCCAGTGGCAAACTGGGCTGAAAGGGCGCCTGCAAATAGCCAGGCACAAGAACACCGCGATCCCCAATTACAGGACAGGCAGCGGTGGCAGCCCTTCCGCGACATGCCTGACAGACACTTTTTCCAGTTTGCCACTGCAGGGTAGCGTCACTCGATCCACAAATTCTGCTTCAACTGGACATGCTTCAAATTCCCTTCGAGGGGGACGCATCGCTGTGATCAGCGCACTGCAGCACATCTCTTTCGACGATTGTAGCTACAGAGACGGATCGCCACCCCAATATTGCCAGGGTCGACAACTGCCACGACTTGGGATTCGAGATGAGCTTATGAAGACGGCACATGAGACACTCTGTGCACAATCCTGTGCCCACCACCGCCATGAGGATATGAGGCTTCTGACTCTGCTACACGTCCAATCCATATATTTACACGCTCGACATCTTCACTTCCACACCATCACTAAACTCTACTGCCCTACTTCTTTCTGTGGTTTGCAAAACTTTAGATGAACACAAAACCGCCCAATGCACCCGCGGCATTGACGATGATCTGCATTGGGGTCGACCTGGTTGTGCATCCGATGTCCTACCCATGGTACCTGAGGCCAGCACCTTGCGGCATGGCCAAACTCTCCCCTTCTTGCCCTTGGAACTTCTCTCTCTGATATGCCTAAAGCAGCTTGCGATAAGTGTGACAGGAGGGTGCTTCATTCCTCAGCCTTACCACTCCAATAGCCAAACACTGCAGGCCCCCAACCCTGGCCGCCAGCACTAAACACCAAGCTACTTGAGCCCCAGGCCCGGAGGGCCCTCGTATGGCTGTCAAGCACTCATACCCAAGCTGGCACAAATGGTATGCTGGGTTGTATGGGCTGGCTGGCTTATCCTTTTGGGCACCTATCCTTCTGTGAGACCGGCCTCCTTTAGAACCTTTGTGAAGGCTTCCTCCTCGGTGGGCACCTCGGGAATGTTCCTCTCGAAGTACCGCGCGATTTGATCCAGGCGGTGCTCTTCCTCAGACTGCCCCAAGCGACAGCACTCAGGGCATGTCAGCAACGACGCAAACATGGACAGCGACCCACAGTGGGCAATGACAAATGGACATGATATTGGTTGCATTTGCATGGGCTTGTGGCGTGACATATCAAGTTGTCAATGCACCTGCAGTGTACATCTTGGAGTAGAACAACAACAACAAAGATGACAAGGTTTCGTGCATGGTAAGTCGTGGACTCTGGCCATCACTTGGAAAACATTCAGCAACCAGAACGCAGAAATCTGAAACAAAGGGGACGAAGCACGAACTTTGGAGGGGTTAAAACCTTGAGAGTTTCAAACTTTCAAGGGAAAGTGGCACAAGCCATACGACTTGTGATACATACCTGTACACGGTTTCATTTCAGATTTCCTGACAGGCATTGCTGGCAATCGATCTGATTGCGCTTGCAGAGTTATGATGGAATGCTGCACTAACCCATACTTCCAGAACATGCGTACAAACATTCCACAAGCACATGTATTCCCAGTGCATGCTTCATCCAACTTTGCAAACAGAATAATCAAAAATGCCTCCTGCGCACAAAAACCTAGAAAAAGAAGCTCTTGCTCTGTCCTTAATTCTGCAAAGGACTGGAATGAGCCTTTCTGTGGTTAAATGATCAAGCCACAGGTTGTGCCTAGGTATTGCAATATACTAGTGGCTCAGCGGGGGATGTTCCAAGACACCCACGGTGGAGAGAAACACAGTGTTTCACAGCATCAACACAAGGCACCAGACCCAATGCATTTGGAAGGCCTCCATATGGGCTTGAGGAAATATGACCTACCAGTGCTCTGAACAGGTGCACTGTGCTATCAACCACGGCCTGCAGCAAGAATAGGCAACATATGGCACAAATAGCATGCATTGGCTGAACAAAAGGATTCATTTTGGGTTTTTAGTGTTCCTTTGGAGGTGGTTGGGGCCCAGATTGTGCATGTCCATGCAAGGCAAACATATCTGTGCCACGAAAGGTAGTGCCCGGGATTGGGGTACAGGTCTATGGACAAACAGCTGGCGGGTTCCGCCATACCCCATCGCCTGCAACCTACAGAAACTTGGATCTGCAATGTGAAGATCACAAACTGTGGCCCATGCAACTGGCCATAAGCGACAGCAGATAATGCACTATCCAATATTGGTTATGTGTAGATATATTCCACCCATATCCATCCATTTGGCTGCATTTGGCAATCGATGCAGGATCAGCACAGGCTCGCCCACCCCAAGTGCCACAAGGTTGAAGGCCGCTCCCCTTCTCCTGAAACGGCCTGTCCTTCCCACTCTGTGTATGTAGCTCTCCATGGATGGTGAGGTCATGTCCTTCTCCACAGGGATGTCAAAGTTCACCACAAGGGTCACCTAGGCAGAAAAGCAGGCAGATTAAAGAACAACCAGCAACAACATGCATTTGTCAATGCAGGGTGTAGCAGTGCTGATGAATACAACAATGCTCCCATTGGTAGTCACTGTTGCAAAATTTGTTTTATTGACATTTTGTCACTTGCGATCTTGTACTGAGTTATATGCCAGTAGCGTTAGTAGATCTATTATGCATTTATGCATTGTCTACATGTGTTATTTGACTCATATGATAATCCTCATCTATTTAACAGATGATGAAGTACCCTGTCCAAGTACCATTTATGTCACTACAAATACTCATACACTCAACAGCAATACCACTGAGTACACAAGTATCCGTGGTGGCATCAATGTCGTTTGGTGCAGATCCATAATAAATGCCATCTGCACTTGCCAGAATTGTGGTGCCTAAATGCAAGGCTGCCCACCAGCACTACACTGCATCCTTGTAGTCTTGCAGACCGATGCTGCCACATGGCATCGAACCACTGCAGTCGCCAAAATGTACTGTCAACAGCACAACATAGCACCAGCCAAATTGCAGATCATGCCATTTGCTGCACAAAGTCTTGCACTAACGGCATGCGCTCACCAGTACCATGGTACATGCTCACCAGCACTGTGGTGGCTGTCAATTCTGACAATTATCCAATCGACTCAGAGCGTCATTCTGGGCACATCTATTGTCAAATTCGTGCGAAACTGAAATGAACCTTCAATCATTCATTTAAAAATGAATGTAAAGAGTTCCTGGAGATTATTTTCCATTTTTCCCCTCCTTTCTTTTTGGGAGGAGGGAGGGGCACCAATACTGCAACCCACATTCTCAACGTCGAATCCCCTGGACAGGACATCCGTGGCGATCAGGAATGTCGTCACTCCATTCCGGAACTCTTCGATGACCTCGTCCCTCTCTGCAAAGCTCATCTCACCACTGATGGCCGTCACCTTGCACATGGAACACATCAGTTCACTTGCATTCGCCAGCAGCTGACAGACATTGCCCTTGCATTTGCAAGGCAACACCATGCACAGCTCCAACACCTTCTTGGTTAAAGAGAATCCACTCATTTGCCCCCAAGCAGGAAATCCAGGAAGGCACTAGCGGGGCGAAATGGGGTCTCACAACACACAGAAAATTGAGCAACATGTACAAACATACGCATCTTTGCCACAACTGTACAACACAATGCATGGGTCATGATACGTGTCTCCACTGATATCAGATGATCAGGCAACTTTGGCTTGAAGTTTGCCTGCGGGAATCTCACCATGCTTGTTGAAAGAATGCTGGCAGGCATGGGGCACAGATCATCAGCCTTGTCATATTGTGACAAGTATGCAATCAATGGAATTGGACCAGATGCAAACCATCCAGAGACACGCTGATCAGCGATGTGGCTCTCCGACACAGCACCTTATAACCGTCATCAGTGAGCACTTTGTGAACGTAGCGTGCTGTGTGCCTGTAGCGCACAAAGATGATCGCCGCACCCAATTTCTCACACTGTGGGAATAGAAGGTGCTGCAGAACGAAGATCTTGTCTTGAAAGCTGGCGCAGTACACTCGGTACTGCTTGATCTTGTCCAGGGACAGCTCCTGGGTGGGCACATAGACCTGCACATAGGAATGGAGGCTGCTGTGGAGCAATGCACCATATTTATGGCTCTGTACATCAAAGGACGCCAACACATCATGCATAGGAGCGCCTCCTCTCATGAAGCACATGGCGGGCCCTCCTCCACTTTGCAGTGCTGTAGTTGCCACCACCGACAGCAATGTACATGTGTGGTTATTGTGAAACTTGGCAAACAGAACCCCACTGCACACAAACACATATGTTCCGTTAGCGCAAATACCTATTTGGTCTGTGAGGGCTCTCTGTTTGGTCCAGCACATGCAAATCTGATTCAAGGCATTCACTCAATGGAATGGAACATCAACAAACCTTGTTTGCCCCAGGACACAGCCTGTCCGCAAAGGCTTTGATCTGTGGCGGGTAGGTCGCCGAGAACATGAGGATCTGCAGCTTGGCCACAACGCCCTTCACCTCCTTGATCATCCTGTATGTGTCGTCCGCGAACGAGCCTGCCTTGAGCATTTCATCCGCCTCATCCAACACCAACACCTTCAGAAAGTTGAGGATAAGCCACCGGCGCCGCCGCCATATGGCCAGGCTGCCGTGGGTGCCAACGATGACCTGCCCCCCCCCAGCAACGACAGCCACCGTCAACTGTGGATGTCGTTCAGAAACAAATGGCTAGAAGGGAACCAATGTCGTGGCCAGTGATATCGTGCTTGCATCATTGTCAAACCTGTGCAATGAACTTCAGGCTTTGCTTTGCCATGTGCAACAGATGCAATCCCAGGAATTCAGACAAGCTTCCTGGGAGTGGTGAGCTCATAAAGGCAGAGCTGTATAATCTCCAACAGCATGGCAAACCACACTGGTGATGTCGCACGTCAGGACAAATTCATCTCGAAATGTTGCTCTATATGGCAATGCTCACTGCACTCCCCATAACAATGCAGAGCTAGCGGTGAATAATCAACTTAGAATCCACCCATTGAGACCGCATGCAACAAAGCATGCTGGAGAAGCAAGGCATCATCACTGGCATCTTGAAGCAATTAAATATTCCCTGCTGCAGTCACATTACAGCTATGGATCTTGCAGCCCTGAGCAAAATGCAACGCCAGAGTACCCTTCTGGACTGGGGGCTGTGATAGAACAGGCATTGATGCTGGCATTATGCAGTTCATCGTCTTACAAGGCCAGGGCTTGAGGCATTCTGGCAACTGCTGAAGTGCAACGGCTTTACTTCTTGCATTTTGCCTATCAACATCACATTTTGTTCTTATGCTTATGTGTGAATTTTACATTCAGACCATCATGCAGACGTCTAAAAAAAACTTGTTTCAATATTCATGGATTGCCAACACTGCAGCAGTGCCATTCCTTGTCTTTGCAGGCATGTGTCAGGCCCCATTCTCACGTGTCTGTCGATGACCTCCGCCTTCCTATGGACTTCGTCTGTCTGAGAAGTGCTGATCGTCGTCACTTTGCAGTATTCACCCATGCGCTGCAGCACAATCTCATTTTGGATTGCAAGCTCGCGGGTAGGCACCACCACGATGGCTTGCGGCTTGTGTTGGGACGTGTCGATGCGATGAAGGATGCAGATGGCGAAACATGTCGTTTTCCCACACCCATTCTGTGCCTGGTAATAGCAAATGCACCGGATGCTGTCACAGGTTCTGCTGCTGTAGAAAAAAAGCATCCCAAAGCTGCCTTGCAGCTCATGTTCTCTGATATCAAGGCAAGAGCATTCTTCCTAAAGACACAATGGCTTGCACAGGCCTTGATTTCCCCAGTGCAGCAGAGCGATGTCCATATGTTCATCGCCATGTCCTTTTCATGATATTGCACGACCAATCTGCCTGGCCATGGGACAGCAGACCAGCTGGGGAAGGCAAGATAGAAGATTGGAGAGGAGCAGATACACATGCCCCGGAGTGAAATGATGTGCAAAGGTCTCTGTATGAGGGTGCAGTCTGCAGAAAAGGACATAGTGCGGACCCCAGAAAGCCAATGAAATTCTACAGTCATCCACACACATCTGTGCTGGCAGCACAGCATCCCCAATCTGGCTTAAGATAGGCAAGTGTCACACGTATGTCTATCAGTGCACCATGCAGGATCCCCACAAGCCCATACCCAATTTTCAACAGTCTGCAACTGCCACAACGATGATCTGCTTCAAGAGCCCAACCAATTGCTACCTGTGCGACAAGAGAATTGTATGGTGGCGTGCAGATCAGTGGTATAGTTTTCGCTTGGATGGCACTGGGCCTTTCAAAGTTCATCTTGCAATAAAGGCCCTTCTTCACGTCTTCAGAAAGCCCCATGTCTTCAAAGGTCAATGCCGAGGTGTACAGCTGTTCGATGTCCCCCTCCACCCTGATTTCATCATACGCGTCGTTGAGCTGCCTTTGGCCTTGCACACGCTTCCCAAGGTCTCTGTCAGGCTCATCCAGTTCCTGTGGCAAAAAGCACACAATACCAGGGGCTGCATGAAGTCCAAAGTTCATTGCAGACCTCCTGCAGATCGGTAGCAATGGCTGAGTGGGCAGCAGAATCGTGAGTTGCAGCAGACCACGCAGTTCAAACTGTACAGACATGTAGGATGGAGGTGTCTGTCAACAAAATCCACCCTACAGCTTACAAATGAACTTGTTGTTCCAGCAAGCAAATCAATGCTGGTTCATCCGTATTGTGTGCACTGGCCCATGGCAGGAATAATGGCAGATTTCCGAAAAGCTTGATTGACGATGGTGGCTATCAGTTGCTGTTCTTGCATTGATGGGGACTGGCACAGCCCTTCAACCTGCCAACTGAGGGCCTGCGGGGTTTCCAAGTTGGCCAATCAAGAAGGTCTCTGAACACGCCAGTGGTAGTTTGGGCTTCTCCTCAACTTATGTTGATTTTGTGCCAGTTCCATATTTTCCAGTCGTCAAATGTCTGGACCCTGGCCCGCTACCCCCCTTCACATTAATTAGTGCTCAGCATACCAAATTCGGCACAATGACTTCCCTAAAAGACACTCTGCAACCGCTGGTGGGCCAACACACTGCCACCTATAATCCCGATGCCACATGCAGGAAAGCTCTCCTTCCTTTCCCAGCCCAAAATCGTAAACCCGAATTCATCCCAACGTCAGTGTCCATGACATTGGCCCTATCCTTGTGCTAATAACCATGACCTTGACTGTGTGCATGGGAACTTTCTGCTTGAAATCCGAAAAGTTGGACAGCAGCTGACACTGACACTGATACTGGCCAAAACGTAGCTGTCATCAACACATGGGAATGAAACAAAGTTTTCAGCCGTGGTTCAATGGAAAAATGATGAAGATCACAGCATTGTCCAACTTGCATTCCATTCAGCAACTCATCCAACTATCCATTCAGCCAACACATAATGTCACATTTTGACACTTGGCCCTTCGGCCATTTAGCCAGCCAAAGGATACACGCCCTGCAACAAAGGCACCAACGAATTCGCAATATCTTGCACAGGTAAAGAGCAGAATAATCGAGAATTGGCCTCCCAGCAGTTGCAAACCCTGGCCTCTCACCTCACGTTCCCGGCTGTCTGGGTGTCTGACAGACCCGCTGTTGTGAAAGCCGATGCCTGGGGCCCTTCCAAATCCATTGCTGTGACCGCCTGGGTCAGACAAACTGGAGACCATCGGCTTCACTCCGGGCGGGCCCCCATCGGAAAAGCCCGCTATCCCTGGAGGAGGCCCGAAAAGGCTGCCATCGGAAATGGGTCCTGACCCATAGCCAGAGCGAGCAAGTCCAGTGGGGCCGCCCCCGTTGCGCACGCCTGGAGGACGACCCCATCCGTCGTCTGGGGCGCCACCCCAGCCGTGGGACATCCCCTACTGTCTGCTGTGCCTGTGCAGAGGGGGGATAATTCATCGCGCGCTCATGAGCTCGGCGGGCATTGGAATCACTGGGGTGGTGTAAGAAGTGGTCTTTGTTCGGAGGAGGGGCAAGGGAACTGGACCAGGGGGCAGTGCAAGGTAGCTGTGGGATGGATGCCCACAAAGGAGAAACGATTTCATGGAACGTGGTGTCCGCGAAAAGGCACTAATGGCGATGTCAAATTCGAATTTGGGGCATCGCAGGCTACGCAGGAGGCACAAAGACACCGGAACACCAAGGAATGAAGCGCGGATGCCAGGCAGCGGCGCCGGAGCTGAGCGAAGCTATGCCCGCAGACCGGCCATTTCCAGTCTGTGAACGACTTGATCACCGCAGCCAAACGGCGCTGGGCGTCGTGACTGTCGCACCAGCGGACCACAGAACATGGAAGCCGACGCGGGCGCAAGGGGCCGCTCGCTCCGCGACGGCGAACAGGCAACGCCCGCGTCGACGACGAAAGCAGCCCGCGTTCAGAGCCCAGGGCTTCCCATCCAAACAGCATGAGATCGTCGCATCCCGCTCCATGCACCGCAAGGCGGGGCAATCTACCACGGTGACAACCCTCGGCCAGATCAGGCCGCGTCGAAGGGCGGAAGTGGTCCCGCCCACTCGCCTCGGCGCCCGGCGCGGTGCTCCGAGCGAATTCCGCGGCTCGGAATGCGCAATTGCGCCGGCGGATCTAGTCGTACCCGCGAGTGGTGACAGGGATTGGGGGAATGTGGCCCCTGGATCTCCTTTGAGGAAATTGCTGGGCTGTGGCGCGGCGGAGTCCTCGGCCGTCGGTGGCGAGCGCGGGGGGGCGCTGGCCAGCGGAGGAGTCGTCGCGCGGAGGCGCTCCGCTCGACTTTCAAATGCTTGGCGCCCGGCGCAGGGGGTTTCTGATCGAAATGCCGGGGCATGAACAGATGCGTCATTTGATGACGTTTCTGGACGGCGATTGGCAAGTCTTGCAAGTGTGTCGGTCCATCGGGAACACCATTTTAAGGGTTTTGTGTGGGGAAAACAATATAATAAATACCGCTCTCATAAGAGAGTGTTTGCCGAGCAACCAAGAAAAGAAAAGTAAAGCTCTGAAAAACAAAATGCAAAAAGCGTAACGGTAGAATTTTCCGATGGAGAAGGGCTTGAAAGCCTACGGTACTGAACTGGCACAAGTGGCGCCCTCGGTTGGGCTTCTGGTCGAAAAGGCTGTATGTGGAGAAGCGCCGTTTCATGGCGTCCTGGACGCCAAGCCGATTGGGAACACTGATCTGGAAAAGATGGCGCCCTCGGTTGGGCTTCTGGTCAAAATGGCTGTATGTGGAGAAGCGTAATTTTGATGACACTTCAACGTCATCAAAATTGGTGACGTCCCTGGACGCCAAGCCTGACCGTCGATTGATAATATTGAACTGGAAAAAGTGAACCCGTCGGGTACTATGGACGGATTCTCATTCGCATTGCCGTTGAGAAAGGGACAATTCTGTTGGTGGCAATGCAGCCCGGACTAATTCGGAAGATGAGAATCCTCAGCTGGTGGAGGCCTTGGTTGGTGCCGTCTCTTGGCGCTTGCGCATCTCTGCTGATAGCGAAATTCGAGGGTTTTTGAAAGGCAGATGGGCCTCGCACAGTCCATTGAACCCGCGTGCATTGCCCCAGGCTTTGCCTTTTTGTGAATTTGCAGCAATGCCCGGCTGTGCCTGGTGGGAGATGCCATTATATCGAGACTGCTTTTGTGTACCAGTTGTCTCTGTGAGGGCGAAGGATTGGTTAACATTGAATATATGATGTGTGGTGGTTTTCATGGTAGGAAGTAAATGTGGTGAGTATGGTGTTATGGTGAATGTATATGGAGACAATGGAGACGGGACGTGAATGTTATTGCAGTGATTGTTATTTAGCTGGCACGATCATCCTGTAATGCATCTGGTTGCGGCCTCGCTTCTCGTGCCTGGGAGCGACCGTGTGTGAGCGCGCAGGAGCCCTCCGTTAACATGTCAATCTCCATCAATATTGCAGCGCGTGCAAGTGTTGCACACCGAGATAGGCGGCGATGGGGCTGAGTGAAATCAAAATGCTTTGCTTCTTGAGGACACCAGTGCATCATGAGTGATAAAAGCACATCGCTTTCTCGCACCCATTCTGTGCCTCGTAATAGCAAATGCACCGGAATGCTGTCACAGGTACCGCTGCTGTAGAAAAAAAGCATCCCAGAGCTGCCTTGCAGCTCATGTTCTCTGGTATCAAGGCAAGAGCATTCTTCCCGAAGACACAATAGCCTGCACAGGCCTTGATTTCCCCAGCGCAGCAGAGCGATGTCCATATGTTCATCGCCATGTCCTTTTCATGATATTGCACGACCAATCTGCCTGGCCATGGGACAGCAGACCAGCTGGGGAAGGCAAGATAGAAGATTGGAAAGGAGCAGATACACATGCCCCGGAGTGAAATGATGTGCAAAGGTCTCTGTATGAGGGTGCAGTCTGCAGAAAAGGACATAGTGCGGACCCCAGAAAGCCAATGAAACTCTACAGTCATCCACACACATCTGTGCTGGCAGCACAACATCCCCAATCTGGCTTAAGATAGGCAAGTGTCATACGTATCTCTATCAGTGCACCGTGTGGGATCCCCACTGGCCCATACCCAATTTTCAACAGTCTGCAGCTGCCACAACGATGATCTGCTTCAAGAGCCCAACCAATTGCTACCTGTGCGACAAGAGAATTGTATGGTGGCGTGCAGATCAGTGGTATAGTTTTCGCTTGGATGGCGCTGGGCCTTTCAAAGTTCATCTTGCAGTAAAGGCCCTTCTTCACGTCTTCGGAAAGCCCCATGTCTTTAAAAGTCAATGCCGAGGTGTACACCTGTTCGATGTCCCCCTCCACCCTGATTTCAAGATGGAGGTATCTGTCAACAGAATCAACCCTGGAGCCTGCAAATGAACTTGTCGTTCCATTGCCACTGCTATGTAGCTACATGGCCTGCCCATAGCTTTGGTGGAACAGGTCCCAGTTTCTTGCGTTTCTGTGCTAAACGGTTTCCCCCCTCATCAGCGCACCACGCGCTGTGGGCGTATCCACACAGCACAGCAGCACGTTCCGGAGTGAAGAACGCACGCGACCCATGTTACAATGTACATGGCCTTTGCCTGTTCCTGCTCGCCCTCGCTGCCACATCACTGCGGCCGTGAACAGCATAGCGTCGCAGCCCTGCCCATCACGGTCAAAACCCCTACCCGCGCTGCCCCATGACCACTACTCCGGCGTGGCGCCCCTCCCCTGCAGTAGTCTCTCACCGCCAGGGAGGTGAGCGTGGCACACGTGTATGCCTTACCAACAGGATGCACTTCTAGTAGCATATATATATGGGTATATACGGTTGCACGCCTGCCACTTGTGGCATGGGTACGCTCTGTGAAACGCAGAGTGTCCCACAGCGATCGGCTGCCGGTTGCTGTTTGGGCCGGACTACCTCAATGCCGCATGCCCGAGGTGGGTCGATGCTGGCGAATGTTGGGGGGCGTCATGCACGTTGGGTGCGCACGGTCTCGGATCCAAAAAGGTGGGATCCTCAAGGCTCCCCTCGAATGATCCCACCCTACACGTTGAGTATGCCCTGGGCATTTGAGGTCGTCACGTGCGTCACAGGCACCCCATCGGGAACCCTTGCAGGGCGCATTGGTCCACATTCCCCTGTGAGGCATCTTCGCGCAAAATCACTGTTTGCTTGGACTGGGTTTCTGGCGAATGTTACCAATACATGGAATATTGGAGAATTGGAGTCAGGATGCATTGCGGAAACGACCAGCGCAGCTCGTCCCGCTCGCTACTGCAACAGGCGATTGCGCAACCAGTATGCTGCACTCCACGCGACGAACTTATGTATGAGCATCGCAAAGTTTTTGGCCGCGCGCGCCGCCGGAGGCACGACCCACACTTTCCATGCTTCGAAAACAACAAGGATATATTGTCCCCGTTCCAAAGCCTTCATGAGTTTGCCTTGGGCAACGCACAAAGGACATCCCGCCCTCACTATGCTTCAAAATGCCAAAAAGGTTGTAGTGTCTCCATTCCAAAGCCTTCACAAGACAGTGAACCCTTCTGGGGGCCGCACATCCACATGCATGGCACCCACCATCTTTAGGACCTCGCCGTCTGATCTGTAGATGCGGGCCAACATTTGAGACCACTTACCCAGCGGTGTGGCGTCATTAGGTCACGCCGGCATGCCTCCACACCTACCCAACAAGTCCGCGAACTGCATAATCTGTTCTGTGGCTGCTAGAAGCATTGCGGCAGCCACACGTCCGACCTCATTCCTTCATTTTCAGGGGCAGATACTGGCGGGACAGTTGAAGTTTCCCCCGATGTTGTTGTCGATGGCAGTAACCTGTGCTGCACTGTTAACATCGACGTTGCCAGTAGTTGTGGACCCAGTGATACTGAAAGTCCCAGTCACGCCGACGACGACATTGCCAAACACATCTGTATCCTGGACATCGACATTCCGGCCAAAGGCCTCAAAGTTGCCCCTGATCTGGATGCCGACAATGGAGCAGTCGCCCGCCGAATTGATGACGGTGCCGTCCACCACCCCAGTAGGCACGTTCACCGGCGACAGGATTGCCCCGTTATTGCACTCCAATGGATTGAAAGGCACCGGGCACGCAGCAGCGCACTCCAGCTCGCAAACCCCGTTCAGCGAATTCGGCACCAGCTCGATCACTGGGTCTGCACTGAGCCCAGTGCAGCTGATGCCCCCGTTGACATTCAAGTTGTTTTCGATGAACAGCGTCCCGCCTACACCAGCGGCAACGATGGGCCCGTTGATGAAGGCGTTGTTGCTGATCGTAGCGCTCCCAACGATCTCGTTCACGAAGACTCCCGCGTTTATGGAGCAACCACTGACCTCGAAGGACCCTGTCACCCTGGTCGCCTCCACGGCACCAATGTTCGGGGGGCTGCCTGGC